GTGTTGTCACATACTAGGTGGGGTAGTGACAGGCAATGTCTCATGAACCTATATAGAAGCCTTATTCGCACCCGCTTAGATTATGGGGCCATTGTTTATCAGTCTGCGACTCAAAGTGCTTTGAAGATGCTGGATCCCGTGCACCACTCGGGCATCCGCCTTTCTACGGGTGCTTTTCGCACCAGCTCCGTAGAAAGCCTTTACGTGGAGTCAAATGAGTGGTCGCTTCATCTGCAAAGAACCTACATGTCCTTTGTATATTTCCTTAAGGTGAGAGCAGACAAGAGGCATCCCTCATACTCTACTATTAATGACTTGTCGAGCTCCATTCTTTTTCAAAACAGGCCTTCAATGAGGCAGCTCTTCTCAGTTCGCCTGAAGGGTCTAGCTGAGGACACTGGAGTGTCACTCGAACACAGTTTAATGGCTCCTGTAGCATACCCGCCACCGTGGCAATGGCAGACTATAGACTGCGATGTGTCTTTTCTAGAAGTTACAAAACATGCGCCTATTGCCCATATCCGAACATACTTCCTGGAACTTCAACACAATACACACGTCCTGAGTTCTTTACAGATGCCTCCAAGTCTAACTCCTCTGTGTCCTACGCTGCTGTCGGCCCATCCTTTTCGGATGCTGGCCTTCTACATCCAGGCACAAGTATCTTCACAGCGGAAGCCTACGCGATACTTGTGGCGGCTAAACACCCATATCAATCCCGGCCGTTGATCTTAAGCCGTCTCTCAAACGAAACCTCAGAGTATACTGACAGAGCAAGTGGGATACACACACACAAAACAAACTACACGTTATTAAGCCACACCTTGGTCATTGGCTGCCCGTATCGAAATCGCGTCAAACAGAGGTAATACTAACGAGACTCAGGATAGGACACACATACACGACACACACACACCTTTTGTCCGGTGGCGATCCACCATTGTGTGACAGATGTGGTGAAGTATTGACAGTCCTTCACATTTTAATTGAGTGCAAACAATTGGACACTGTAAGAAAACAACACTTTCGATTACCCTACCGACAACATATACCTTTACACCCTGCAATGTTCGTCGGTAGGGAACCGCTTTTTAGTCACAAATCATTGTTCGCGTTTTTAAAGAAATTCATAGTTTTCATATCATATACCCGGGCATCCCGTAGCATGACCTCTCCAGAGAGGTTTTTGCTGCGGTGGTTACACAATAAAGCACTTGCCTCACGGCCCTTGGACGCAAGGGTATGAACGAGTGAGGCACTTGTGCTAATGCCATACATATCCACTATCGTCTTTTATTATCACCAACTTTTGTCATCTATTCACACCACACACACCTTTCACGACATGGTCATGATTTTATTACTTGTATGTTTTTACCCGCCTTACCGCGAGGAATTTTATGGCCCTTATACAGCCGCTTATCACAATCATTGTCCATGTTTTAGTAAGATGAACTGGCGCTCTTTGGCCGTGAAATGGTCCTTGCGCCATAAAACATCAAACATCATCATCAATTCAGTGAGTCGCGAGTTTCAACCGGTTCCGCGCAGACCTGTTGGTTTTTGTTTCTTTGTTTTTCCATTTGCTGTGTTGTCTCTGCGTTTTGTAGCCTTTCCATCCCCGCACTACGCCGCAGTTTTTAACGCGATAGCGTAAAGAGATGGCGTCACTGGCGGAGAGTGAAAAATCATGTTATCCACAACGGAGAAGTTAAAAAAGGTCCAAATTAAGTAAATGATAAAAATCTTTGGTTCAAGTCAGAAACGAACCCAGGCCGTCTAAGTGTCAAACAGGTGTTCTACCGCCTAGCTAGGCTATTGCTTGAAACTGCTTAAAAAAAAAAGAAGAAAGAAACGCTACATGAATGCTATGTCGGCAGGATCGAGTCTCCTCAACGCTGGTGATATCGCGTCGCAGAACGGTAGAATCGCTGCAGGCGTCAAAACATGGGACTTGCGCAACGAGGGAGTCTTTTTTTCAAGGCCCACTAACGACATTGTGCTCAGACATATTTAATCATCATAAGCTGCAATAGCATAGGCAAAGTGAGCAGCTGCGTAAGCTCGCGTGTTTCCTTACATACGCGTATTAGTCGCCCATCGCTGATTCGCGGACGGAAGAATTATGACGTAGTGGGGACTTGACAACTGTACTTGCAGTAGGCGTGCTAGAGTAGGTTCAAACGGCCACTGTTACGAGCACAGTCGTTTGTTTGCTTGTGGCACAGTTGAGGCACGCATCGAGAACCGAGGCCAGACTAGCAGTTGAGAAGGCGATGAGGGCGGGGCACGATTACGCTATCGCGTTCGACTCTTGAAGGCGAAACTCAAGCATCCTCTCCAAGTTTTTGTATTTGAAAACCACCTTGCTTGTTTTCACTGTACTAGGAAGTGTAAAAAAAATCGCAGCATATCCACGGAGTGAATGATGATGAGTGGGGCGAAGCGTCCGTCAGCCCGTCCGTGCTTCTGTCCGTCCGTCCGTTCTTGCTTCCGTCCGTCCGCGTGACCATCCGTGCGTCCATCCATGCGTCCGCCCGTCTGTCCATGCGTCCGTTCTTGAGCCCGTCCATCCATCTGTCTGTCTGTTCGTGTGTCCAGACGTCCGTACGTCCGCGCGTCTATCCATCCGTCCGTCCGTCCGTCTGCTAGTCTCTCTGTCCGTCCGTCCGTGCGTTCATCTAGTGAACACTTTACCGCCATTTCCCATCTCGCATCCCCTGTGGCACATACCTGCTCTAGAGCGGGTATGTGCCACTGGTGGCTACGTACTACTACATACATACATACAAGGGATGGACAGACCCACGCCTTAAGGAGCTTCGCCCCTAAAATAACGGAAATAAATCCCGAACGATAGGTAAATACAAAGCGCTGTCGTCACTGCTACTGCCATGGTTGTTGTTGTTGTTGTTGTTGTTGTTGTTGTTGTTGTTGTTGTTGTTGTTGTTGTTGTTAGCTGAAGTGATTCGACAGTATATTGTAAAAAAATACGATGAAGGCTATGTATGTACATTGTGCTTCTTATTTTCTCTTCTTTTATTCTGTTTAATGTTTCATATCTTTGTGCATATTTTTTTACATTACTATCATGATGTTGGGATAGCCGGCTATGACGTCAGCTACCTTCCCATACTTTTTATGTATACGACTAAGAAAAAAAATGCGGAAAGTAAGGCTGGTATTCTTTTGAGCTTTCCGAAGGTTATGAACTTTCCAAGCTCCTGATTCAAGTTTTGAAGCATTATTCACTATACTAAAGAAATGGACTCTCTGAACGTTGAGCTAAATACGGTTTACGGTCCCATGTATGTCTGCACTTCACTTCGAGGCCTTAACCAGCTGTCCGTCCGATAAGCAAAAGCGATGCGTCACGATAACCAGTACAGTATAGGCGACAAATTATGCTCTGACAAAACGCACAGTAATTATACACCGCGATCATTTCCGGCGTTCATGGTGATTCGCGGAAAATGGCTAACGACCCGTAAATATATTGCGCGATCAACGTATACGCGAAACTCATATTCGCGTTTATTGCGGTCACGCTCAGCGCCCCACTCAAGTCATCAAACGACTTTGTCCCTGCTTTGACAGGGGCGACCACGTCTGTCACTTTTTTGTATGGGGCTCGACATAAGAGAACTATCGGTAATTAGCCTCTCTGTCTCTCTTTTTTGTTATTTTCGGGCGGTCAATCGATTCGTCACGCCACCAAGTCAGTCGTCGATCGCTGTTGTCAGGGCAACCACGCTGGCGGATGCTTTGCACTTACACGCTCGCTATGTCAGGGCGCCAAATGGCGAATGGAAACTGCGTTCGCGTTACGACGTTTGCTCGCCTTTGTCAACACAAGAGCTGCTCGTGCACCGATAACGCCCAGTGCCGAATGTGGACGTCCGGCGTGTTAAACGAAACACGCGTGTAACTGCGTATGCCCCCAATAGCGCGACCCGGCCTGACTGTCATTTCCATCGTGCCCTATGCGGCTGTATGGCGTTGACAGATGCAGTATTGACTGTTTGCATTGCGCGATTGCGACATATATCACCGAACCGAACGTGACTTGCATCTGTATATGCGCTGGCCTCTGTCGTGCGCGGCGATAAAACGAGCTATTCGAAGGAAACATCGCCGACGTCCACCCACGTGTCATGAACGCAGTTTTTGTTGTATTTGGTAAGAATAACGGTGTTTTGCTTGTTCTACTACGAATTTTATTTCTATAGTAGCCGAAATTCATGCGTATCGTTCTACGCGTTAGCCGTTGGCGTTGTTGTACATTCGAATGCTGTAAACTTCATTCGGAGTTTTGAAGAAACAATAAATAAAGACTCTCTTTTAGCTTGCGGAAGCCTTTGTCAACACAACAGCTGCACGTGCACTGATAACATTGATAGGCTTTTGAAAATCTTGTTCATAAGCTCAATAAAAAAAACAAAAGAAAGAAAACAGCCATGTGCGTAAGGATACGGAGTATGAGTAAGGAATAGAAGGAAAGGCATGGAGGTCAACCAGATACTCGTCCGGTTCCCCAGATATCCCACCCCAGATGCCAGATACCCCACGCTGGAGGGAAAGGAATAAGGAATTGAGAGAAAGAAAGAAGAGCGGGGAAGGTGTCATCAGGGCGCTTGTTCGCACTCAAAAAGCCAGCGCACTCGATGAAGCACCAGCTCAATATATATATATATATATATATATATATATATATATATATATATATATATAATATATATATATATATGGCGTTAACTAAAGCGATACGCAATCACCGTTCCAAAAAAAAAGGGGGGGGGGGGGGGTTGAGTCTTCCTGTATTCTATGCGCAATATAAAATTGAACTTGGTTTTTCTTGAACGTAAGAATTAGACGTTCAAACTTCAGTTGAAACCCCAGTCATACGTCACCATGAACCTATACTATTATATATATATATATCTATACCATGGCGTTAAACTCACACAGCTTTAGCGAAACAATCTCCTTTTGTTTTGCAGGTTCTAGCAATATTTCAAGAAGTCGGAGTCAACAAAGTATTGTATTTCTTAGTCTTCGGGGAGTCTCTACTTAACGGTGAGTAACTTAAAGCACTTCTTGAGCCTGGGCTGATGCTGACAGGGTGTTCCGTTTCTGTTCCTGATCTCTCACGCAGACGCCGTGACTGTCGTGCTGTACAACATGATGGTCGCCTTTTTCGGCAGTGACATCACGGCCAGGGAAGTAAGTATGCTATGCATTTGGGCCTGCTTTCTTCATTGATTGATATGTGGGGTTTAACGTCCCAAAATCACCTTATCATTATGAGAAATGCAGTAGTCTAGGACTCCGGAAATTTCGACTCTCTCGTGCTAAACGTGGGTGTGTGTGGATTAAGTGAAATGATTTTTATGGAACCATGTCTTTAAGATGGACAGTGAGTGAGTGAGTGAGTGAGTGAGTGAGTGAGTGAGTGAGTGAGTGAGTGAGTGAGTGAGTGAGTGAGTGTGAGTGAATGAATGAATGAATGAATGAGTGAGTGAAGTGAGTGGGCGTGCGTGGGCATGCGGGCATTGTTTTATGCGGTTAAAGTCCATGTTCATCAGCAGAGAAACAGCGTTTCATCTGTAGCCACCGCTGTCGGAATACCCGTCCTTTTAACAAGAGACGTATGCCGGTGGCCCCGTCACGGTGCCAATCCATCGTGCTTTTGCAGCACAGTGCCTCCCGTGCTTTTGTCCCAACTGCAGGTCGTCTCGTTTTTTTGGTCGGGGGTTTAACATTTCGCCGCGTTTCTGCCCTTTACAAGCCTCTCGAGGTACCTGTTCTTTCTTATCTGTAATAGTCAGACCAGTCTCCACCCTCGGAAAGACCGAGCTTGAAACTGAAAAAAAAAAATTCTTGGCAGAGCTGTGACAAAATATTGACCCCGTTGACAGACTATACTTCACACACACAGAGAGAGACGGATATCGTTGCCTCTTCTTGCGACCCGACATGTTGTTGCTTGTGATGGGCAAAAAGTATGACATGGTGAAGAGTAAAATGTTACAGATAGTTCCTATTGTTCCTCTTCAGTCTCCATTGAAGCCTGTGTTCCAAAAGTGTTGTCTCAATTAGCATTGCCTTTTTTTTTCTTATTTCATTTGTGGGGTCTCGGCGAGGCGAACGAGCGCATCGCCACGCCACGCTCTTGGAGTGAACGGACACAGCAGACGTGGTCGGTACAAAGCACACAACATACATACATTTATTAACTAATTTAGACGACGATATCGTCCGCCGAATGTTACATCAATTTTAATTAAGACGCTACCATACAAACAACATAATGCAGTGACACACTAAACACACAGTAACATGATAAACACACACTAACACACCCAACACACTAACACATACCCGAGGCGGCGTCGCCAACGCCTGACTTTCCACGTGGGACCCCGGCGCGAAGCCCGCGGTGCCGAGCACCGGGGACCCACGCTACAGACAACCGTTCGCGGCAGCCGCCACGCGCAGAAGAGACTCGCTCAACGCTGGCCCACCACCAAGGCCTGCCTTCCGCCAGGGGCCAACGCCGGCGCTACCACTCTACCAACAGTGGTACTCAAAGCGAACACAACGCCATCTATCGCCCGGCGGTGGCCACCACCGAAACAAAGCCTTTGGGGCGAGACACGTGCGCCACGCGGCGCAGACAACTTTACAGGGGGGTTGTCAGCACCCCCACACATTTCAGTTATCAGATTTAGTTTTCATTTTGTCTCTCTCCCTTTCGCCAATATAGTCGAGGTGTTTTTCACAAAAGGCTTGCGATCGATATTTCCGTTGTATTGCGGATCGGATGTCATGTTCCATGGCGTCTCCTGCATTTCTACCATAGTTTGCGCTTGCTTACGAAAACGCGCGCCACCGTTTATGCGCTCATAATAGATCATGCCGAACTTCCTGCTGAGCGTGGCGTTCCTTTCTTCGCGCGCGCGCTATACAGCAATTGTGGGAAGCGTATACGGAACGCGTTTATACGCTTACGACTGCTACAAACCCGCGTCGCCCGTTTCCCTGGATCTGGCGAAACTTTCTCTTTTCTTTTTTTCTGTTCGGGCAAGCCTGATTTAGGAGAACGTGGAAAAATGGGGCACGCACGACGCGCGACTCTGAATACCATGCCAGAATGAATGAGATCCAGAACTGCCGATGTTGCTTTTGTTGCGCCAGTGCGTCGCCAGTGGCAGTATGCGCATTCGCAGTGGTGTGAATGAGTTTTCTGAATTGAAATTCTCTTTTCAGGTTTACAGCGCGGTGCATTGCGGGGGGAAGGGGGGGGGGTGATTTCAGTGTTGGAAAGTTGGCGAAGTGATCGTTTATGTGCGCAATCTTTTTTTTTTTTCCCTCAAAGCAATTTTCTTCTTTTACTTGACTGTCACGTTCTTTGCAATTTAAAAGTCACCTTACGCGTTCATGCTCCAGCGTAACTTCATACTAAACGTGCGAACAATGCGCGAACTGCTTTGTTTGTTGTGGAGAATTTTCTTTGTTTTTTTTTTATTTTAACAAAAAATAAGTCAAGAAGCTCTTGCAATTTTTTGGTTATCGCTATTCATTTCCACTTGTTTCTTTTTTGTGAAAGGATTAAAAAAAGAAAAACAACATGTAAACGTAAATTCAATCCTGCTTTTCGCGAGTTGAGAAGTTCTCTTTTTAGCACTTCAGGCATACAAGTACGATGCACGCTTTTCGTAGTAGTTCGCACAGTGCTCATCGCAAGTACTACTATCTTTCCCCAAAAAAGGTTAGAGCACTTTGATTGCTTTGTGATTTAGCCCGAATGATCATGCGCGTACTATTTTCCATTACAAATGTCGCAATAAACCGTTCATTTCGGTAGGGCAAGTCGTTTGACAAGTTATTGAGCTATCGCTAATAGACTTCAATTGGATTGAATCGAATAAAAAAACAGAGATCAAGACTTCTATGTAATTTAGATCCAGATGCACTTGATGAAAGAACACCACGGGCTGACAACTATTACAGGATTCCCTCCCGCCCTCCCTCCAGCCACGGTGTGTCTTATAACTATAACGTGCTTTTGAGCGGAAAACGCACTGAATTTCATTAAACTTATCAATAAGCTGCGCTCGTCTCGTCGCGGCGTGTGTATCGAAGGAATTTCAGCACTATAATTTACGCACACTCGAAATAAAGTGCTATAGACAGTATGTCTGGTATGATATAGGAATGGCAGAGCAAATAGGGTGAAAGCTTCATGTCACTTTTGTTCTTGCAGTTTTAAATTCTTTGAGAAACCATACTTTTTTTTTTGCTAATTTGACACTTTCTACGCAGTCACGCGTGATTTTTGAGGTCAAGCGCTGTCATAACGATATTATGATGATAAATGGTGTTCTACGACGCAAGCAAAAAGATTGCAATAAGCGCCAGTCATAACGATCTACTTCCGTGAGGGAGAAAGATGGCTATAAAACGAAGAGACGGCACCGCCATGTCGACTTACGTTCGCTTTAACCGGAAACGATATTACGGTTTCGTCGCCATAATGTGGCGCGGGCCGGATGTGCAGGAGTTGCGATTACGGTGTCCAAAGCGCCGCCGCCTGCTGTATGACGTAAAGCGAATGTGTTCTGAAAATGAAACTAGCGTATACGGGTGCTAAGCAACACAAAAGTAATATGAAATTTTGAAAAGTGACCAGTTTTGTAATCTGGTCTCATAAATACGCTACAAGCAGCTGACGTAGCCAATCCTCGTAAATCGCGTTGGAATGTGAAGTCGTCAGATAAATGCGCGCAGCAGAGAGAAACCGTGAAGGAAGGCCGCAGGAGATTTACTAGAATTTGATTTTCGAAGTAAAGACTATGGTCAATTTCTCGCACTTGAAAAAAAAAGTAATTGTTGTGTGTTTTACTGCCAAGGACAATGATATGCAAACGCCGTACGGGTAGGCTCTAGAAATTTGAATCGTCCGGAGTTCTTTGATGTGCGCCTAAACCTAAGCATGTGGGCGCATTCTACCTCCCTCGAAATGCGGCTGGCTGGTATCCAATTCTTTCGGCCTTGCCCCGCCGCGGTGGTCTAGCGGCTAAGGTATACTCGGCTGCGGACCAGCAGGTCGCGGGATCAAATACCGCGGCGACTGCATTTCCGGTGGAGGCGGTAATGTTGTAGGCCCGTGTGCTCAGATTTGGGTGCACGTTTTATTAAATATCCCCAGGTGGTCTAAATTTCCGGAGCCCTCCACTACGGCGTCTTTCATAACCATATGGTGGTTTTGGGACGTCGAACCCCACATATCAATCTTTCGGCCTTCTGATTTATTTATTTATTTATTTATTTATTTACATACCCTAAGGACCCGGGTGGGCATTACATAGGGGGGGATTAGGAAGATTTTCAACATGTGTAAAATACATTAAATATTCAGAAGCATCTTTATATAAAGCTTAAATGGAAAAAATTTGAAAAAAAAGAGTACACACAACAGTGGTGATAAGGATAATAAAAAACATATATATAAACTCTGCAGAAGAAAAGGTACGTTAATGAAAATACAATAGGCTCAAGGACAGTCAAAATAGGCTCAAGGGCAGTCAAGGAACATAACAACTAGACCTAGGGTTCTAGTTTTAAAAAAAAATTAACCTTGCGCTTCGCAGATTGGCGTGGGTTTCGCTGCGTTCCTGTCGGTGAGCTTAGGGGCGTCGGCGATCGGCTGCGTCATGGGCATGATCACTGCCTTCGCCACCAAATACACGCACGACGTCAGGGGTGAGAAATCATATTCCCAAGTTTTCTTTTTTCATATTATTCGTGGTACAGCTTAACTATCTTGTGTTCGCGCTTTTCTTGTTTTTTTTTATATCTCAGTCTGTTTTGTGTTCTTGTGTCTTTGTCCGCAGTTGTTGAACCTCTGGCCGTGCTAGGCATCGCCTATCTGTCGTACCTCACCGCCGAGCTGGTCCATTTCTCGGGAATCATCAGGTGTTATACTATTTTCTACTATACTTTATCTTACAGCGGATTATTAATTTGCTACGATGTAACAAACTGTGTTTCACTGTACCATACTATATCACATTATACTATACCATATAGTACTGTACCGTACCATGCATCGCTATTCTATCCCGTACTGTACTATAAGTATTAACCTTCAAAATGAGGTCTTAAGTTTTAGTTTATTTAACCACATGACAAGCGTGCAGTGATACACACAGAATTGGTTTGGGATGTTGGGAAAGAGCAGCATAGCATTTGCCGTAAGAGGAGGAGGAGGATGTAATATCATTAGGGAAAGGTATTTATTCAGTCACGCCGCAAATGAAAAAAAAAAAAACAGAATGCCATTTTTAATGTAAATGTGGATTGTGCGGTCGCTTTCGCGTTCCCTTGCTGTGTTCGCGTGACCCAGCAGGTATCACGTGAACAACGCAAATTTTTTAAGGGCTAATTATTCCCCCGTCGCTCACATCAGCGCTCTCTTTTGTTCAGTAAATGAGGTTTTCACCTATACCCCTACTTGAAGTTTTTTTTTTCTTCTTCTTCTTCTCTACCGACTCAGCATAATCGCTTCCTTCGCTAGCTCGCTTCCCGCAGGTGCCGTTGAAAGGAGATGGGTATAATACGTTGTATCTTGGCTCCACCGCTCTTATTTCGTCCCCTTCTAAGCACGCCATCGTGTACTTGTTTCTTGATAAACGGCTCACGTGATTGATTACTCGCGAAGGAAAAAGAAAGATTAGCTTCTGACTATCGAAAGAGTCGAGTATTTCCGGGTTTTTCCTTCCCCCTTCTGTGGATTCGCCTGTTTGTACTTTCATCGCGTTAACTTGTCTTGCTTAGCTCAAATGCACGCGAGACTAGGCAAGCGACAAAAGAGAATAAAGAAGGCAAGAGTCTTATAATGGATGTGACGCATGCTACATTGCGTGCGCGGATAGACATTTAAGCCTTCGCCAGGCTTAGTGAGCCCGGTGGTGAAGTTGCGTTCACTGGCTGCCGTCTTGGTGTTCTGTTATTAACAGCGTCGACTTAGCAAAAAAGCGACAGCAGCGGCAGCTATAGAAACAGTAATAGGGCGCTGCGTTGATCAGCAACAAGCCTAACGAGAGTGCTGTGCACGCCTGCGTCTGGCAGAGAGATTCATTGGGCCTTTCAACGAAGGGTATACATTTTTCAAAGTATCGTTGATTCGGCTTTTGCGGGTTGTATACACGCGCGCGGTAGGCGGGAGTCCGGACTATACCGTTAAATGAAAATAAGCACGGCGAAGCTGTTGCTATGCAACTGAATAAGCAAACTCGAAATCGGCTCCACTGCCGGAACTGACAGCCCGTGCGATAAGTCGCGTTCGTTACGCCCGGCGAAGCGAAACGAACAGGTGACGTTTTAATGAACGCCCGAACGGAAGGTGAGAAGTGGTCGTCAGGCTTGAAATGATAGTATAGTTAAAATGAAGAAACCCACGAAATTATAACGCTTGGTAACGACGAGACGTTAACTGTACTATGTGCGAGTGCATAATTTTTATATTCTTGCGGCTTTGTTTACAATAAAAGCAGCTCGTAAATAGGGTTTATAGAGAAAGAGGTTAACACCTCTTCATTTTAACACGTGCATTATATCAGTGTCACGTCTCTTTTGATATCATCCGGTCTCTTAACTTAAACTTAAGTATGCGTATTTATCCTGTAGCAATACTCCGATAATGTTATTTTGTTGATTATCTAATAGATTGTGTTCCGAACTTGGCTGAGTTGCAAAAAATCTAGGATAATCCGGATAAACTACGCAGTATCCCGAACGGCATTCTGCTGTGCATGTGCGAGCTTTGCTGCTTTTTTTTCGTTAGTTTATGGTTTGGAGATAAAGCCTCATGTTTTACTGACTGCCCTTGGCAGAAATGCTCGGTTAAATCACCTTGCGTTTGAGCGCTTGGACAGTCTCGACAAATTTGTCGTCAAATGATCCAGTGTTTTGGTCAAACATGGTATGGTTGTCGCCCCACAGGCAAAGGTGTTGGTCATGCGTTTGATTCCCCAACAGTATCGATCCCCAATAGTATCGCATAACAGTTTGGTAGATCCCAATGTTCACTTATTGGCACGGTTTTAAAACCGAATTGGATAGACATTCGACAAAAGTGCCGCGCAAACGACATTCTTTGAACACGGGTTGGTTTTTCCTTCCGAGTGTCGCTTGTGTTTTTTTTTTTTCCTATCCGATTTATTCGTTGGTCGATTAAATGCGATGTGCATTTGCTTCTTTCTTTCACTCAGCATCATCTGCTGTGGTCTAGTTCAAGTTCAGTACGCCATGGGAAACATCTCGCGAAAGTCTTACACGACAGTCAAGTACTTCACCAAGATGCTCAGGTAGGTGGCAGTCGTTCTGCTTTGCAGTCTCGTGCTTTGCGCTCAGAAAGATACGCAAAACCAGCTAGAACAACGTCGAAAACATCTGTGTGTACTTATACCCAGTTTTGTCTGGCTAGGTCTATATAATGCAAAACGATTGATGGTCTATGTAGAAGGTCTATATAATGTAGAAGCCGAAAAACACACTGGTGCTGTTGTGTGTCCTCATATCTTCGTCCGTGTCGGCGTTGTGCTGTGTCAAAAATGTTCAAGCAAGCTTTATATAACGTCGCCATAATTAGCAGAAGTCAGTGTGAACAAATATTACGCAGCAGAGTTTTTTTTTTTTTTTTTGCGACGCTTGGCCGAGCTGGTGTGAACCGCAATGTTAGCCCGAAAAATAGACGTGGTACAGGAAACTCTATAGGAGACGGCTAGTGGGCTCACTGGCATCGAATGCGTGACGCACCGATGTCTCTTTACCCGAGTTTACCCTGTTTAACCAACTTTACCCAAGAGATTATGTGTGTGTCACTCTTATTTCCGAAAGTATTGCATTTGGGGTTGGCGTTTAGAAATTGTTGCCTTAATCTTAGTGTCTCTCGCTGGGTCATTTTGATGAGAACTGATAGACAATAATGCCAATAAGTGATAAGAATGAAAGTGGAAGAAAAGATAACTTGCCACATGATCCTGCTTGTGGCAAGTTATCTTTTCGTCTATTTTCGTTCTTCTCATTTACATTACTTGTACTTATGATAACATCCCCTTTGCTTTTCCTGGCATTATTGTCTGTTAGTTCTCGTTAATGTTGTGTCTAACGAAGAAAACGACCCCTAAAATTTACACTTCCTCTCATTTTGAGCATTTCATGGTCTGACCTATAGGTCAAACACGGGGCAGCAAAATTCGTGATGGCGGCCTCGCCAATGCTTAAGCGCAGGTAGATAGTGTTTATCATCCCCACTTCCAGCTTTCTTCTGCAAAGCGTAGGAGTACGTAGGAAAATTCCGCATACTCATCGTTTGAGATTCAGGTCATTGTTTATACAAGTACCAATTACAAGATCTTTGCACACAGATGAGGGCCCCAGAGTGTAAATACCGAAAACGGTACTCTCAGACGGTGAGCCTAGAAGCGTCGGCGATCGGCTGCGACATGGATACTATCACCGCCACCAAGTGAACACGCACGATGCCTAGGGTGAGAAAATATTTCCAAGGTTGCTTTGATTTCCAGTTAGACAAGATCGCACAGCGGTGCACACTTCAAGTACAGTGTGCTAAAAGGTCTTCTAGTACACTGTACTCCAAGAACATCGCTTCTTGTGAAGTTGCGCAAGTCAAGCGTCGCTGAAGTAATGAGACACATGGCGTCGTGTCCCTTAGGGGAAAGAGTGTTTTGAAGAGGAAACGGAGGCGGGGGGGGGGGGGGCGTGCCGTGCGCGACTTGCTCGACGAGCGTCGAAGCGCTGTGGCAGTGTCGACCAATTAATTCGCCGCGGCTCGTCACGTCAAGCGCGCTCGTTTCGAGAGCCCCGCAGAGGAGGCCCACTTAGTCGCAACGGCACGTTGACGGAGCGAAGACGCGCAGAGTCATGTTGCGCCCTCTATGCATGCGCGGCACGTGGCCTATTGTTCTTTCGTCTCGCGTGCCGATGCGTCTTGTATCCTTCGCGAAAAGCTCGATCTCCGTGGTGTTTTGTTTTCGCGTTTCGCGCAAGCGCGCTCCATCGATCATCGTCGGCGGCACCTGTAGAGTGTTCGCGCGAAACCTGGCCGCTCTTCAAAGGAGAAGGCCTGAATAACTAACTATCTTTTTTTTATGTGACGCTTTTTTCTCTGGTACTGTGTGCACCGCCTCGTGTTTTTGTATGCTTGCAAAGCCTCCAATGTTTCGGGATTTCTTCTTAAGATGTGAGATTCTTCAAGCGGTCTTCGAGGACTTATGACAGCGATAACATTGCAACTGTTTCTCACTTGAACTTATTTACTTTCAGCCAAACTTATTACGAGAAAGTACCAACACACTCGCTGACAAACATGTAAACGCGATGCCCTTTATATTTCACGAATGCTCTCCGTAAACATTCATGAACATCATCTCCGTTGTAAACTAATGAAAGGAGGAATTTTAAGAGCTCGTTTGTATTGTTTGAGAGATCCCTAATTAATGAGAAGCAGCAGATAATGAGTGCGAGAAATGTGCAAAGGATGTTAATTTGTGTGTTTTAGCTGTGTTCCAGTAATACGATGCAACGTGAAGCAAGCCAAAATGAACTAAAGGATCATTTGTGGCCGGCAGAGACCGAACCTACAACCTTCGGATTATGCGCTCGACGCGACGATCGCAGTTGAAACACACTGCAATAAGCGTGGTCCGTACATTCCTTGCGCATATCATCTGCTGGTTTTCATTGCCCCGCCGCGGTGGTCTAGTGGCTAAGGCACTCGGCTGCTCACCCGCAGGTCGCGGGTTCGAATCCCGGCTGCGGCGGCTGCATTTCCGATGGAGGCGGAAATGTTGTAGGCCCGTGTGCTCAGATTTGGGTGCACGTTAAAGAACCCCAGGTGGTCTAAATTTCCGGAGCCCTCCACTACGGCGTCTCTCATAATCGTACGGTGGTTTTGGGACGTTAAACCGAACATATCAATCAATGCTGGTTTTCATTGATTGGGGATCGGTCATAATAAGGAGCGCCGCGCCCTTTGACAGCGCGTCGATTTCTCCAAGTATGCCCTGTTCGCTATCCGCTTCGGCTGCTTTGGACCTCGAGGCGTGAGCCCAAGGTCGTGAAGGGGGGGTTAGAGCCGTGGCTGGGAGCTGTCCCAGTTTGCAGGATAAGAACGGTGGGTCGGCGTACACCCCAGCAGCATGAACGTTGAAAACTGTGCGGCGTACTTTCCTATTATGCTTGGAACGTCAAGAAATTTTAGATGTGGAACATTTCAGTTAGTATGTACTATACCATTCTTTGGTGTGGTCGAAATATAAGATTGTTGGAGACTTGAGGATGGCCAGACGCCTCTATACGCAGCGCGTGCCTATATTATTCCACGAAGGAGCAAGAATATAGTGAGCGAGGAGGTTTCACGCCATGCATACGTGACACTAAAGTTATAGGCATTTGGTAGAAGGCTGCAGATCAACGAGGACAAGGGCACAGTCCGAGCGAACAGCAACCCAGGTTGCCTTGTTAACCTCATTTGTCTATAATAATAATAATAATAATAATAATAATAATAATAATAATAATAATAATAATAATAATACCTGGGATTTTACGTCCCAAAACCACGGTGTGATTGTGAGAGATGCCGTAGTGGAGGGCTCCCGAAATTTCGACCATTTCGCATACGCGCCTCTAGCAATTCGCCTCAATCGAAATTTCACAATCACAGATGGAATCAAATCCGCGACCTTCTTTTCAGCAGCTGAACACCATAACAGCTACACCGCGGCGCACCTTACCATCCAATGAAAGGCGGTAAACTTTTATTAAACACATTGTGTTACATTGAGCCGTAAGCTATACTTTTAGAACTGTTTCGACTCGCTGTTGTGTCGCAGTAGCAATGGTATTCCGCTGTTGAACAGAAGGTCGCGGGTGCGATTGCTGGCTGCGCCATACACGCATCGTTTCACTGATCATTTCGCGGATCATTACATGGATTATTTCACGGATCAACACCGCGAATCGAATCCCACTAATCACATTCCCCGAATCAAACTCCACGAATAAAACTTCAGTGATCAAACTCAACTAATGAAATCCCAGAATCCGAAACATTGTGCTCCGGCTGCTTAGCTGGGCAGAAACTACTAGATTTCTCAGGAACAAAAGCTTCCCAGTCTACGAAACATTCGTCCTGGTCAGTCCTTCGTACTCCAAAAAACAAACAATCGCGTGTTTATTTTCTTGCGCCACTGATTTCCCGCCTAACCAAGCGACGAGCTGGAGGAGGCCTCGCCGCTGGAAACCGGAAGGAACTTCGAGGTCGGCTTTGACGCGCTAGGCGCGATGACAGTCGCGCGATTGTCGTTAGCTTCCAGTTCGCGCTTCCGAGTTTGTTCCGTCGTCTTTTAGGCGATCGTTTTTCGTCAGCCGTCGGCGATTCTTCGTCTCCGCAGCGTGCCTGACATTCCGGTCTTTCTTTTTCGGGTCAAAAAGGTCGACGAAACAATGAAATGCTCCGGAGCGGCTTGGCCTTGAACGCCTTTTTATTGTTCTCGTTGTTTTTTTTGTTTTTTTTTAAGGTCGCTTAACGACGCCTCGAAAAACGCGCTACTGGAGTCGGCGAGCGTGCCTCAAAAGAAGCCGTCAAGGTCATGGCTGTCGGGTTTCTCGAGGTCTTTTGTTTCGACACTTGGGTTTGATTGATGCTTTATTTCGTATTTCCTTTTTTTATTTTCCGAGGTCCTGTTGATGAGAAGTCTTTGGGCATTATTTATTGTTTTTTCTAGACAAAAAGAAAGGCATATATATATATATATATATATATATATATATATATATATATATATATATATATATATATATATATATATTCCCGGGTCCTGCTCACGGCAAGTTATCTTTTTACCCACTTTTCTTTCTTCACATTTACCTTACAATTCAGTCTAATAACCTCCCCTATACTTTCCTTGGCATTATTGTCTGTCAGATTTCATTATTATTGTGTCAAACCATGGGAAACAAGCCCTTAAGTTTACACTTCTTTCTCTTATATATATATATATATATATATATATATATATATATATATATATATATATATATATATATATATATATATATATATATATGTATATATATATATATATATATATATATATATATATATATATATATATATATATATATATATATATATATATATATATATATATATATATATATATATACTTTTCGTGCAAGCCCGGCAGACTGGCTACACTGGCGAGATAAAGTGTAGGGGGGTGGTGTCTTTGTGGACTTCAAAAGTAGACAGTAGAAGGCAAGCGTTGGTAGTGAGCTGAGACAAATATAAAATCTAATAGGAGTAGAACAAATCCGCGCTTATTAGGAAAAAAGTGGGAATGTTCGCGTACCCTTCAGTCCACACATGAGAACGAAGACAGCATGCAGATAAAGAATTAAACTCAGCCATCTCCACTTGGCGGATGCTGACGAAATAGAGAAGCTTGAAGCATGCGGTAGTGTTGAATGAAGTTGGGTTGAAGTAGGGATGAAGTAGGGAGGAAGTTGGTGAAGGAAGTGGTCTCTGCACAGGGTGAGGGCACGGTGCCGCGTCAGAAAACTCCGAGCTGCAACGCGCACGTGTAGTCAGGGCTTTCAGAAATGACGCGTTATCAAAGCGTCTGTTACCCGAAGCCAGCTTTCGTGTGACGTTCTATATTGAGGCGGTTGTGTGCCTGCATCCTGCTTTACTTTCCTTACGCGCAAACAATGATACTGGTTACCAAAACGACGGACGAAAATTCGTTGAATACATATCCTTTCGTAAATAATTCTTAATTGAGGCACTTCATGTTGAGAGGAGATAAAAGAACTACAAGTTTAACGGTGTTCTGGTTACTTCGATCCTAACTTGTTAGTTTACTCAAAGATCCGAGGTCTCGAAAGTGCGGCTGCTTATCTTTTACGTTATGTTAGATACTGCTATGTAAACGTAATTCTGTTTAGGTAAACGTACCTCGTCTTTGCGTACTATAGAGTTATGAATACGTAATCAGAAAAACGTGACAGAAGTGGAATGAATTCACACTTTTTGGGAAACGAAATTGTTGCCTCGCGTATTTTGCAAGCCGCGCGTGAAAAGGAAGTCAGCGTTCAGATAAAAAAAAAACTTTAGGTAGGTTTAAGGTTAGGTTACGTTAGATTAAAGTGGTTATGAACGAGCGAAATGTGGTGAAGCTGGTGTATGATTTCTTTTACTTATCCTTTATCAATTTTTTTTCTGTACGTGCATGGTAGTTGCCATATCGTGTATTTTATATGGACGTGTCTGTTGCATCAGTCTGTTTTTGCTATAAGAGAGATCTATATATTTCCGTGTTTATTTTCTTTGTTGGGCTTTCGGTGCGAATGTATCATAAGTGTTTCAAGGAAAACTGCCATGCGAATATTCTTTCGTAAGCGGTGTCACCCGTGTGAAAGCGCCTTTCATGAATGAATTGCTTTATATATATATATATATATATATATATATATATATATATATATATATATATATATATAGAGAGAGAGAGAGAGAGAGAGAGAGAGAGAGAGAGAGAAGAAAGAAAGAGGAACTCAGTCCACTTTGTCAGTCACGGGAACTATTCTTCCTATACAAATGGTGTGTGTTGTTCTCTTCTCCCTGTATACATTATACTTGTCTTGTTTTGTTTGTTTGTTTTCTTTGATACACAGATGGTTTTCACTGTCAGGCGTACGATATGAGCCCCCATGACGGAAATGGTCATTCTTCGTAGTCATTGCGCAAAGCCTTTCGTTCGTTTGTTAGTTCCCATTCTGTCGTCTTCAAGTTTTGCGAGAATGGCGACACCAAATGCGCCCGCGCGCACAGCTGTCTTACGCCTGATAACGGATGCACTACTGTTATAAAATGAAAAAAAAAAAGAAAACGAAATGCCGGCAGAATGGGGATCCATTTTTTACCCATTTCGGGATGTGATTTCACGTTCGCGTGTGCCGCGAATTGACTCTATTTATTTGGCACTTTTTCGTAGCGACACTATGCTTTCTTACTGGAGCCTTCAAAATACGTATATGTAGCCGAAAATGAAGTGGTTGGAAAGTGGTTGTAATGCTTAACGCTGTAGTTTACTGATGCGGAAATGCAATTTTCGCGAAGCAGTGTCGATTCTTCTAGTTCGATTCGCTTCGTGGTCGAAATGGATCGAAGAAACGAGATCTAGATTGAGACGGCACGTTCAAAGTATCCAGCTTCGTTGCGGTTCCGGCTGCGGAAAAGAAAACTGTGTTTTTTTTTTTTTTTGAACTGATGTCAACAAAAACAGGCTTTGTTGGCGACACATTCGGTAATTAGATCTCTATATCCGGTGCTATTTCGCACGCGTGGACGCATCGATTGCATCCACGCGTGCGAAAAAAAAAAAGGGGGAGGGGGAAGAACTTCACAATTTCCCCCGTCACAAGCAATTTCAGCTGCTTTAAAATTTTGTTTATTCGATTTTTTTTTGTTTCGTATAGCATTGAAACGATCGCAGAAAGCGCGTCATCTTTTGTTGTTCCGGCCTGTAAATGAAACGTACTTTCAGAAGGCCGTGGTCGTTTTTGCGCCCGAAACTCTCGCCAGCATTTTTGTTTCTTTTCTTTTTTCGTGAGCCACTAGGTGAACGGAAAGGCAAATTGCGGAACGCGTATAAAAGGCGTTGCGCGTGCGTGTTTTGTCATCGTTGTGCCTATAGGAGCTTCTTCCTCTTCATGGCTCCTAATTCTGCATCAAATGTAGACAGGACAGTAGTTCAGTTAAGGATCGAAGCTACCCCCTCCCCACACACACACATACAAGGGTAGCGAACCGGATGCTACAATTCTGGTTGTCCTCCCTGCCCATATCCCAATTTATTCTGTCCCTTTGTTTCTTTGGAAGCTTGAAGAGTCGAATGATTCTCGTGTGACTTTGGGTGTCGCTGGAGTCAAAGTAAACAAGTGGTCTTGTCGGAGCTGCTGTCTCGACAAAAACAGGAAGACTTGTTGGAACGTTATCTACAGCGATACTCAGTGTTGAAGGAATGTGAATCTATTCTAAGTGTGATGAATGTATATACCACAGTCACCACCCCACACCTGGTGTGATGGCTGGTATATAGATATGATGATCACATTTCGAGTAGCGAGGTGATATATACCAGGCTCTCTGGATATTGTTAAAGGACCGCCATCTTGTGCAGCCTGTATACGTCTCATATGCTTCCACCTTTCCTAGAGCTGAGGGTAGGGCAAGATACTGAAACGTTATGGCTCAAGCAATGGGGTGTTATGGATTTACACAAATTTAGGCGCCCCTGTAACTCGACACTGGCGTACGCCATGCATAGGCCTACGAGTGGAATGCTCGTGAAGTTATCGTTGACTTGCTAGTTTTACAGGTGGTCGCCGCGTTGGTGTTGCGGCCACTGTGCTCAGCTGCTGACCCGGAGGTCGCGGGATCGAATCCCGGCGCTCGCATGTTCGATGGAGGCAAAATTCTAGAGGCCCGTGTACGGTGGGGTATCAGTGCACGTTAAAGAGCACCATATGGTCTAAATTTTCGAAACCTTCCGCTACGCCGCACCTCATAATTATATGTTGGCTTTGTGGCGTAAAACACCAGGTATTATTTCATTATTATTATTATTATTATTATTATTATTATTATTATTATTATTATTATTATTATTATTATTATTATTATTATTATTATTAAACAGGTGGGAATTTTCGATGGCGGAGTGCTTTATACTCCCTGAGAAACGCCAGCGGGTATTGTGACTTAACAATAATAACTTACGGTGACGATTGTAGTCATAGTATGATGATGATGATGATGATGATGATGATGATGATGATGATGATGATGATGATGATGATGATGATGATGATGATGATGTACTGGTCGTCTGTGGTCTCCGTTGCAGCGCCGTGTCCGACACGGTCATCTTCATCTTCCTGGGCATCGTGCTGGTGAACAAGCGTCACGTCTGGAACACCGGCTTCGTCGTGTGGTCGGCGGCGCTGTGCCTCGTCTACAGGTTCCTCAGTGAGTGCAGCCCCTCTGGTCTTATTTTACTGATTTTTTTTTGCTGGCGTGTTAATAAGTGCGCATTCAAAAAACTGCACAATCAGATCTTTTGGGTCATTGCTTCAGTGATTGTTGTTGGAGTCACTTGACATCTTCATTGGTGAGCTCGAGCCACCTTATGCTCAGTCCGTACAAGAGATACTGAACATTGTATGTCCGGTACTAGCAAGCATTCAGTACTGGTGCCATGACCCGACTAATACTCTCTTTAGGGATAAACCAGACATTCTTTCATAATATACAGCGGGGCGTCATACGTCTGAGATCCAAATCTCAGGCGTATAGTATGAATCTCAGACGTATATAATATCAAGTTACCAGCATACGAACTAACCAAACGTTATTATATAAAACGACGCGGTGTTGTTTAATATCGCGCTGCTTTTTAGTATGCTCTCTTTTTTTTTCATTTTTTGATCCTCTTCTCCATGTTAAGGATAGCAAGACGGACGCGCATCTGCTTGACCTTGGTGCATTTCTGTCCTCCTCCTGCACCTCTCCTCCACTGGGCGAAAATTCTTGTAAACAGAAGCTGGTATTGAAGTACGATAGCATTTAAAATTATCACATAAGCTTGTTATGAGGCTTAGGTGTACATTACAAGAGCAATTAGTTTTCGAAAGATGCGCATAGCTTGGGCGAAACATATGGCGTTTGCTCACGTAAGACTACCACCGGCCTATACCTGCTATGAGCCCTAATTAGTTATGTAATAAACACACTTAACACATGTCATAATGTTATACGTGTAGGTGCTACTATGTGCACATACTCCAACCCTCGTTATGTGTCCTGCAGGCTGTGATGGTCCCACATAGCGAGATCAGGCGCACATCATATCGTTATGAACTGCTTACTTCCCATTACACTGCCTCATAGTGGTGAAAGTAAATTCAGAAAGTCGAGCGTTGCGTAACTATACCGTAGAGTTTTTGCCGTTTGTGGTCACGTTGTTTCATTTCCTCATTTCAGCCGTGTTTGGCCTTACATATTTCGTAAATATGCTCGGCCGTGTGAAGAAGATCAACCTCGAGGAACAATTCATAATGGTGAGTGTATACAATGATCCCGTTTGCCTCGCGATCGTCAGCTAGACTATTGCTGTTAAATCTTGTTTATATAGCATACGTTAAGCATTTCGAACAAGCAGAAACGTCACTCACGATGCGCGTTTCCGCGTCATCGTCCTGCGAGATGTTTAATGGTTAGTGTAACCATTGGGTTATGTGTCAACGGTAGTTGTGCGTAACACACCGAACGCTTCTTTTGTTGTTGTTTTAATAGTCAAGCGCTTCTAAGCCGAGTCCTACGTGTCCGCTGTTGGCGTAACGCCGATCACGTGGTTCATTTGGCGGGTATGTGCCGCAGAACTTGGCTAAATCTCTCCTGGTAATATTTAGCGTTATAAAGCAGAAAGATGAGAAGTGAGGACACGATACGGGCGCTAACTTTCAACACAATGCTTTATTGCAACCGAAGCGGCAATATATACAGTCGTGACACGCACTCGCTACATCCATACGTCATGCGCAGAGGAGTTTTTCCTCTCTTTTTCTCTTCTTATACGCGCTTCGGTTGCAATAAACCATTTTGTTGAAAGTTAGCGCAGCTGTAGTGTCCTGACTTCTCGTACTAGTGCTTTATTTCCCTAAGTCCTACCCAATGTCTTACCAACAGCGCCGCATTTCTCGAAGTCTGAAGTTTGGTTTATTCTGCCACACAAAGCACAAAAAACAGTTGCACTCCAGACGTGGGCTGGAAGGTGAGAAAAATAAGCTTCGTACATGTAGCTCGACCGGACCCGCCTCCCATTACCCAGCAGCGGACACTTTAGCAGAAGCAAATTAAAGCATGTACAGAAATGCTCTTTGAATCGCGAAACAAAGAGACTGAAACATACATATATAGCAGACACCCTTTTCTCCCTTTTTAAGTCCCACTGTCCACCACTGGTCCACTAAAAATGAAAACAAAAAGTACTATTGTTGTGGACCGGAAGCTGCTGAAACTCATAGAAGACGACGAGAGGAAGAAGACGACTATGGTCACCTAATGCACGTGCAGTAGTAATAGACAAAATTTCAAAAAAAAAAAAAGAGAGAGAAGAAGAAGAAAGGAGGCCATTGCTTTCGTTCGCATAGAATGCAGTTGTTCAGTCTTGGTGGTCAAGCTATAGTGTGTAGAAATATACGTTTATAGACGCTGTAGTCAAGCTTCTCTGTTTTTCCGATGAACAACCGCCTGTGTGTGATTATAGAAGACAAGCGGTGTACGTGCCGAACGACGTTCCGACAACCGTACACATCGCGTTCCCAGAAACGCTCCCGATGACGTTGCCCTTGACGCGCACTTCAAGCGAAGGCTTCTTTGTACACCTGTGTAAAACAGCGGTATATGGACGCGACGCGGTAAAGCTATAACTGCCACCTCAAAGCCTAACAAAGAGTGATTGATCTAAAGCGGTGATACAGCATAGCTGAAAGACTTGCGAAATGTTAACACGCGATAGCGTTATCGAGGGAAGGTCACGAGCCTTGTTGTTTCGCAGTGTTCGCGGAGGAGAGCTGGCTGGGGTTTTTTATCTTGTGTGTGTGTGTGCGTCTCCCGCTGTGGGTTTCTGAACCGACGCCGTGCCTGTTGTAAAACGCATACGTGCTTTACGTTGAAGGGTGTTTAACTTTGTTTGCTAGGCTCTTTGGTGTTTTGGTTACGATAACCACAACTGCGAAGTTTGTTTTTTCTTGTGCCTTAGTTTCTTATCTCTCTCTGCTTTTATTTCTTGCTTCTATTTTTTTTCTTTTGGTGCTTCGCATCGTCTTTAAGTTTTGCTGGGAATGTATACAGTGGCATATATGACCATTTTTCGGCATTCAGTTTACTGTTTGGGTACACTTACTACAGTTGAGTTACTGGTTAAAGACATGCAGCTAAATAGTTTTCTTCGGGCTACATGCCTAGCAGAATAACCACGTGAAAGATATCGCATTAGCGATAATTGCTGAGAGGGTTGACGGATCTTTTAAAAGTCTTCCTAACAAACGTCGTATAAACTTGATTTTTGACGACGCCTCCGAACCCACACCGGAGCAATTAGTTTTAGTAATCGCTGCTTTCCGTGACTGGGCTAGAGTATTCGCAGAAAAAAAAAACTTCGCCGCTTAACTGAGCTAGTTTTGCCTCCGTCTGCCTAACTTTAAAGTTCACTTCGCCCAGCCTAAATAAGAGCCATTGTATGCTCCGTCCACTTTCCTTCGCCATGAAGACGTTTAAAACTTGGGACGAAAGATCAATCGGGAGATGAACTTACCCGCTTGTTTCCCCTTATTTGCTTCTGCGCTGGATTTTCTTAAAAGCAGCTTTTGTTGTTTAGTGCGGGTTTTGAAACTTGCTAGAAATCATTAAGCGCACCGCCTTCACTCCAGCAGTTCGAACGTTCTTTTTTTGTTTCCTAATCCATCGTTATCCTAGTTATTCCGATTGTTAAATAATGAGGCTCGATTCTTAATGCGTCAGTCGCTTCTAATTAGCTGAGAGTTTGTTTTTCTTCATGTATTCCTTTAGAGCCGAGCGAATGGGGCCTTACGTCCAAGGTAAAATTGGACACGTTTATTTTTTTTTTCGACACTTTTTGCCGACTCAATAGATGAAGCAACCGCATTAGAGAACGGGATACCATGTTTTAATTAGCTTTAATTCAATTTATATGAATTCGAATAGCTGATCGTCAAGCTTCGGTACTTTCCAGCCTAGCCGATCAAGATGGTTTTCTATTTTTGTTTCTGAGCTTGGCATTTGCAACAAAAACCAATAAATTCCAAGCAGGGAGAAAAAAAACATTTTAGGCTGATTTTATGCATATAATTGAACATATCGCGTTACGTGTTGAATTATGTATGAAATCATTGTGTCTCTTCAACTGGGCTTTTCCAGTTTCAATGCTGTTATGTGATTGAATGTCGTGCATGAAAGAAGAAAATTTCCAAAGGCTCATTTTTCACCTTAAACCTGCAAACCTTCCACTTCACCTTTCACTTCAAACCTTTCACTTCAAACCTGCAACTTTCACAAGTTGCAGGTTTGGTCCCTGTTAACATAAGGTTGCCTTTTCGTCCGTCTTACCCTCATCACATCTGTATCAGAGCAATTACGGTGCACTTAAATATAGTACAATTGACGTCCCATATACCTTACTTGGCTTCATTATATACCGGTTTCAATTAAGGTTGTTGTGTGGTGTTATTTACAGCCTATACAGTGCTCGTGTGATTGCATTTTATTCGAACGATAGTGTTCTGTCGTGAGAATGTTTTTTTTCTTGTTGTTACGTGAATGGACCTAAATGAACTCGGCCTAGCTGCACTCTTTATGTGGTTTTTTCGTCGTTGCTGCGATCTACCCGTACGATATCTGTGAAAAAGTGTAGCCGGCGCTATAAAATTGCCGACATCTCCTGTAAAGCATTTATTAATAATACTAATTTTATAATAATAATAATAATAATAATAATAATAATAATAATAATAATAATAATAATAATAATAATAATAATAAACACGAATAACCACCGTTTCGGTGTTTTCGCGTCGGCGGTGGCGGCATGGACAAATACGTCATGCGAGGTGTTTGTGCCCATTGTTAATACGACCGCCCTCAGGTCGTTTACCTTGTTGCTCTGAATATCCAATGCCCACTATTACGGTGTGCATGTAGCAACGAAAAAAAGAACTAAGAAGAAAGAAAGAACTGTGCCATTACAGCAAAAGGAAAGCACCTCCCCACACGTGCATGGCACTGACCAGTGAATGAGCTATTTAAGTAAACATTGCGAACCTCGTTTGTTCTTGTTTTTCGTTTTTTTTTCTAAAAAACTATTCTTTGTTTGTTGTGCTAGAGAAAGAATAACGAGTCTCATTGCTGCATGCACATATGTTATTTTGTAGTTGTTGGGTGAATTAATGCTTGTCTGCACGGGATTTTTATGCTGCGTCACATCCGCTACGTTGTTACGCTGTTAAGCACTATAGGGCACCGGTTCGGGAGCTGCCCGGGGGCCGGACACCGATTCTGGCGGAATGCAAAAACACCTGTACAGTACTTTCAATTAGGCGCTAGTTAAATAAAGCCATGGGGTTAAAACGTATCAGTTGCCTCTTACATTTATACGTGCCTTACAACCATATCGAGGTATTAGAACGCAGAACACCAAGCTATGAATTTCTTACTGTCTTCCTGTTAGGCCATTTCATAAACTGTGGGCTCTTGACCTCCAAATGGTCATGTTTTTCCGGGATTATTTCTGTCTTCTCAGATTATAATTCTATATCTCCTCTCACTGCGAACAAATTAAGTTATCGGACATAGATCATGAAAGATGACGAAAGATGACGTCTCGGCTCTCTCAGAATGTAATCGATAACGTGTGATTCAGCGTGCGTTGTTGAATCGCACGACCTAGATTATACTGTGCACGAGGCTACCGTCAGAGGAGCGGAAACGTTTTTTTTTATTCTTTTGTGGTCGGCGTCTTTCTCTTTCCAGTTTATCATGACGCCTCTCGAACCTATACGAGCTTCCGTCAGCCTGGTATCAAACGCTTGTTTTCAGTGGACTTGTTAAACTTCTTCAATAAAAGTCTTTGAGGGAGTCGGACGTGGGCGTATATACGAATAAAATACGCGGCACTAGTAAGAGGACTTGTTTTTTTTTTTTTTTAAGAAGGAATCACGTGGAGCCAGCTGATAAAGAAGAAACGGGAAGCATAAGGAGCGTCATTTGTAATCTACAAATCAAATGCAGTCGTTAGACGCTTTAGTACGATGTTTTCGGGTTCCGGCCAGACTGGCAATGCCTTTTTTTTCTTTTTTTTGCGGTCAGTTTATTTTGTTTATTTTTATCTCTCAATTACTACATTTCGATTTTATACTATAAATAGCACTCCTTATGTTTTCTTCGGCTTCTTTACATGTCGGATTTTCGTGGTTTGGGGTATTCATTACCAATTTTTGGGGGTTTCGCGTGTCGAAACTACAGTATGATTGTGAGGCACGCAGCAGTGCTGGACTGCTTATATCTTTTGAGCACGTTAAGTAACCACTGTATACCTAAACCTACCTACGACTGCATGGCGTTCCTCCATTTCGCCCCCCACAAGCCGCTGTGGTCATGGAATCGAACCCGTGACTTCTACCTTGGACGCGAAATGGGTCAGACTGCTATGAGCTCGTACTCGGCTGCTGACCCGCAGGGCGCGGGTTCGAATCCCGGCTGCGGCGGCTGCATTTCCGATGGAGGCGGAAATGTTGTAGGCCCGTGTGCTCAGATTTGGGTGCACGTTGAAGAACCCCAGGTGGCCGAAATTTCCGGAGCCCTCCACTACAGCGTCTCTCATAATGATATAGCGGTTTTGGGACGTTAAACACCACATATCAATCAACTGCTATGAGCTACCACGCCCCGCCACGCTGGTCTAGTGGCTAAGGTACTCGGCTGCTGACCCGCAGGGCGCGGGTTCGAATCCCGGCTGCGGCGGCTGCATTTCCAATGGAGGCGGAAATGTTGTAGGCCCGTGTGCTCAGATTTGGGTGCACGTTAAAGAACCTCAGGTGGTCTAAATTTCCGGAGCCCTCCACTACAGCGTCTCTCATAGGTTTTGGGACGTTAAACCCCACATATCGATCAACTGCTATGAGCTACCACGCCCCGCCACGGTGGTCTAGTGACTAAGGTACTCGGCTGCTGACCCGCAGGGCACGGGTTCGAATCCCGGCTGCGGCGGCTGCATTTCCGATGGAGGCGGAAATGTTGTAGGCCCGTGTGCTCAGATTTGGGTGCACGTTAAAGAACCCCAGGTGATCTAAATTTCCGGATCCCTCCACTACGGCGTCGCTCATAATGATATAGTGGTTTTGGGACGTTAAACCCCACATATCAATCAACTGCTATGAGCTACCACGCCCCGCTACGGTGGTCTAGTGGCTAAGGTACTCGGCTGCAGACCCGCAGGGCGCGGATTTGAATTCCGGCTGCGGCGGCTGCATTTCCGATGGAGGCAGAAATGTTGTAGGCCCGTGTGCTCAGATTTGGGTGCACGTTAAAGAACCCCAGGTGGTCTAAATTTCCGGAGCCCTTCACTACAGCGTCTCTCATAATGATACAGTGGTTTTGGGACGTTAAACCCCACATATCAATCAACTGCTATGAGCTACCACGCCCCGCCACGGTGGTCTAGTGGCTAAGGTACTCGGCTGCTGACCCGCAGGGCGCGGGTTCGAATCCCGGCTGCGGCGGCTGCATTTCCGATGGAGGCGGAAATGTTGTAGGCCCGTGTGCTCAGATGGGTGCACGTTAAAGAACACCAGGTGGTCTAAATTTCCGGAGCCCTCCACTACAGCGTCTCTCATAATGATATAGTGGTTTTGGGACGTTGAACCCCACATATCAATCAACTGCTATGAGCTACCACGCCCCGCCATGGTGGTCTAGTGGCTAAGGTACTCGGCTGCTGACCCGCAGGGCGCGGGTTCGAATCCCGGCTGCGGCGGCTGCATTTCCGATGGAGGCGGAAATGTTGTAGGCCCGTGTGCTCAGATTTGGGTGCACGTTAAAGAACCCCAAATGGTCTAAATTTCCGGAGCCCTCCACTACAGCGTCTCTCATAATGATATAGTGGATTTGGGACGTTAAACCCCACATATCAATCAACTGCTATGAGCTACCACGCCCCGCCACGGTGGTCTAGTGGCTAAGGTACTCGGCTGCTGACCCGCAGGTCGCGGGTTCGAATCCCGGCTGCGGCGGCTGCATTTCCGATGGAGGCGGAAATGTTGTAGGCCCGTGTGCTCAGATTTGGGTGCACGTTAAAGAACCCCAGGTGGTCTAAATTTCCGGAGCCCTCCACTACAGCGTCTCTCATAATGATATAGTGGTTTTTGGACGTTAAACCGCACATATCAATCAACTGGTATGAGCTACCACGCCCCGCCACGGTGGTCTAGTGGCTAAGGTACTCGGCTGCTGACCCGCGGGGCGCGGGTTCGAATCCCGGCTGCGGCGGCTGCATTTCCGATGGAGGCGGAAATGTTGTAGGCCCGTGTGCTCAGATTTGGGTGCACGTTAAAGAACCCCAGGTGGTCTAAATTTCCGGAGCCCTCCACTACGGTCTCTCATAATCATATAGTGGGTTTGGGACGTTAAACCCCACATATCAATCAACTGCTATGAGCTACCACGCCCCGCCACGGTGGTCTAGTGGCTAAGGTACTCGGCTGCTGACCCGCAGGTCGCGGGATCAAATCCCGGCTGTGGTGGCTGCATTTCCGATAGAGGCGGCAATGTTTTAGGCCCGTCTACTCAGATTTGGGTGCAGGTTAAAGAACCCCAGGTGGTCAAAATTTCCGGAGTCCTAACATATAGTGGGTTGGGACCGTAACCCATAGCAATCAACTGCTATGAGCTACCACGCCCCGCCACGGGTTGGTCTAGTGGCTAAGGTACTCGGCTGCTGACCCGCAGGTCGCGGGATCAAATCCCGGCTGGTGGTGGCTGCATTTCCGATAGAGGCGGCAATGTTTATAGGCCCGTCTACTCAGATTTGGGTGCAGGTTAAAGAACCCCAGGTGGTCAAAATTTCCGGAGTCCTCCACTACGGCGTCTCTCATAATCAAATGGTGGTTTCGGGACGTTAAACCCCTTAAATCAATCAATCAATCAATCATCAATCGATCAATCAATCAGCTATGAGCTACCACGATTTGTGATTGCGGGTATCTTGTCGTCGAGCCTGCGCGAGATTCAGACTTTTTATTTTTACCAGAGTGCGTCGCCTGTTCGCGTCTTTCTTGCGATGACGTAGGCGTACGGTGGACTGCGTGGAGCCGTGGCCTTCTCCCTGGTGATCATGCTGAGCGCGTGCAAGTTCCACAACTACGAGGTGTTCGTCACCACCACCCTCGTCATCGTCCTCTTCACCGTCTTCATACAGGTGAGTGGCGACAGCAACGAATTCTTGTTGTCAACGCCAACGTCGCAAGTACAGCGCGCGTGCCTCGCCTCTGCTGATTCGCGTGCACTATCTAGAGTCACGGACAAATTATCCCAGCGCACAATATTTACGGAGAGAGAGATAGAGTTACAACCCCCTTCCATTCCCAACCACTATGTGAACAAAGTGTTTCCAGGACGTTCAACTTTCCAACCGAGAAACAGCAACAGAAACATATATGCTTTACATGGAAAAATAAGTCATGTTAAGGGCGCGTATTTTTTTACGTCACGAAAACGAGAAACATGAGATAGATCAATCGTGCTGATTTTATTTGATTGGATGCCGCGATAACTCTGGGCGTAACCTGTGTTTTTTCTTAGGTTGCAATCAGGGAGTGTCGGTTGTAACCCGCTATAGGTATCGTTAGTTGTATTCTGTGAATAAACGTGCAAAAGAGAAGCAAAGAAAGCTACCGCAACGTCCAGCATCAGAGATAAAGAGGTAGAATTTTAAGGTAAAAGAGAGACGCCGACCAATAAGCACTTTAAAAAAATAATAGACGGCTCTCGTACCGGGGCCCTGTTCACAATCGAAGTTGCTGTACTTTTTTTTTAAATGTTCTTTGGTAGGCGCCTCCCTTTCACCTTTTGACGATGATTATTCGCGAAGAGACGAGTCTTCGTCGAACTTTTTGATTGCATGAAAAAGACGACAACAGAAACGAGAAAAGCGTACGCGCCTTGATCTTGGCTAATTTCGTTTTATCAAACAAAGCCGGCTTTGTGAATGTGAAAGGAGCTTCCTTGCTTTGTTCGCGGAAAATATTTTGTTTTCACTATTTCGTGGCCATCCATTGACCAAGCGCAGTTCCTGCGCATTGAACGACACCGCCGCCGGAAAACTAGTGAACAAGTAATGGCTTTTATTCGTTACGAATTGAATTGTTAGTTAGTCTGGTTTCAGAGACACATATCCAAACTGTGGTGGTGCACAGAAGAAAAATCTTTTTTTTTTCTTTTTCTCTAAAGAGCCCGGGTAAAGAAAACTGGCGCAAGAATTTTATTTCACTTCTACTTATTATCTTCTTTAAAAAACTTTCATATGGCCAACTTGTTTTTTTTTTGGATAAAAAAAATCACTTTTAAGAAAGTGTATGCTTGGAGCAAAAAGCAACATTAAAGAGAGCCGTCTCGAAAATGGCTCTTCTTTTAACCTCGGCAATCTTACAGCCGCTTCGGGCATGAAAACAGTGCTTTCGAGTATTTCGAAACAATGTTTTATCGCACGTTCCGGACGTATGAAATCTGTAATTACGTGTCAAGTTTATTGGTTTTACGTAATGAGATGTTTTACTGCCCGTTCCAGTCGCGTCGTTTTTGTGACAGGCGAGAAATAGACTTACATTTTACGGCATAATAGTAACCAAGTCTTTGATGTGTCAGATTATCCGGCAGTTCATTGATTGCACGCTGTCTTCGCGTTTCTTGTGCCGTACGCCTCGGGCACACAATACTATTCAGCGGGAATGGCGTGCTATGCACGTTTTTAATTATAACGTTTTGCTTATAAGACACGTCGAAGAAAGCCTGCTGAAATTATTAGGATATTAAGATGTGCGTTAAGCACCACAGCCCTTTTTGTTCGTTCTTTTCTTTATGGTCACTTCTTGTTTCTCTCGCCACTGGTTTCCCGAGGTACTGACAGTTGATTAGATAACAAAAAAAAACTCCACAAATAACTTTGAAGAGATGTGACGGCACCACCGCGACAAAGGAAACAAGCTCACTTTCTCCCTCTTAGTGGCGACAAGACTTAATTATAGATTTGGTTCTCGCACATCGAACGACGAATTTTCACCTCCATTTTCCATGCGCAAACTTGAAGTGGGCTAACCGCACCTTTTTTTTTCCTCTCACGTGTAAACCTCGATATAATGTAAACGATATTAACGCATTCAATCTTCCAAACTGCTTTGCGCGCGCGCGCGTGTGTGTGTGTGTGTGTGTGTGTGTGTGTGTGTGTGTGTGTGTGTGTGTGTGTGTGTGTGTGTGTGTGTGTGTGTGTGTGTGTGTGTTCAGTTAATAAAAAATCGTTAATTCTCTCAGAACATTTTTTCTTCCTTTTTGCGCTCCCGTGAATTATGTTGGCTGTTTAGTATATCAATTAAGCAAAATTTTAATTGGATGTTAAGGAACCTTTGTAACCATTCCGTACTTGGCGAACGATCTGCTAACTATTCTGTAGCACTGACATGATTGATCGTCGTGTTCTGTACTTCTTTAAGCAACCTGAACATAAGCTTTGCGCAACCTGTAATAACAGCACTTGAATACGAACAAGCAGATTCAAATGGTTCGTGTTTCTTCCCATCATTCATTTTTTACACATTTCCTCGTGAGTAGTGAATACGATTCTCACAGAATAACAGAGTTGACCTAGTTGATGCATAGTCATGTCAAGAAACTGGGCGGGCCAAAACGGAAACAACTTAGAAGTCAGGACATCGCAGACGCTGTTTAGTCGATCAGCCAGCGTTTGTGGTGTATTGACTTCTATATTATTTCCGTGTCTGGTCCTCTAGTCTCCAACATGACGACATTAATCATTCTTATGTTTTCTGCACCATGACGTATGTCACACCTACCATGACGTGTAATTCTTAGGCGCCTAGCTTGTACGCTAGGTAAAGCGCTTTGTAAATGAATGAATTAACGAACGAATGAACCAACAAACGAACGCATGAATGAATGAATGAATGAATGAATGAATGAATGAATGAATGAATGAATGAATGAATGAATGAATGAATGAATGAATGAATCGGTTTGCACGGGCAATGGAGGGATAACTTCAATGCCTAAGACGAAGGCAGTAAAACTGAGGTGACACGTTGCGGGTGAAATTAGTGACCCTATTCGCAAGCGCACTAGTAGAAAGTAGAGCGTATTTGTGACTTCGCCTGCGCTACTTCTTGCATGAGCCAGTAATCACGCGTAACTTGGCAAGGATCCTAACGCTTCCAACCATGATCAAGGTCCAAAGGGTGCGTATGTGCTATTCAATATTCAAATTAGTAAAAATTTGTATAAACGCACAAGTCAAAAAAAGCTTGGCGAAAATGAGGCGTGTTACACGTAGTAAAACACCCAACTTTCAGATACACCAAAAAAAGTCGAGAGTTCTGCCAAAAGGGCGAAGCGATGAATGCGATAGCAACATATTCGAATGTTTCACGAAGCAAGGCTAAGATTTTTAAGTGCAATAATAATTGTAGTAAACATGCGCTTGCTAATTAACGAAGTTTTCAGCGGCGCGGCCACAGTAAATGAACGCAACAAGGCTAGTGCGTAGTGACGGCGTTGAGGAGAAGCGCCTTCTGTTGGCAGCGCATGCTAGTACTAAGGGCTATATACGTCGTGTGTCGCCCCTGGTGGCAGTTTGTTATTTGTAGAGCGCCTCTATATGTGGATGGTCGTTCCAGGTACACTATTGGCACCTTGGCACCGTTCTTTCGTGCTGAGAGGGCAGCCCGTAGAAGCTCCCGGCTGTTGTGGCAAGAGCCACGCGCTGATCGTTGCCGCGGCAACTATAAGCCCTCCCCCCCTCCTCGCAAGATTAGCGCGCAGGTGACTCCGGCAGTAAAGGTGATGTTCGCTCTGTGGAAAGGGGAAGCTATCGCATCCTTCTCCTTATATATATATATATATATATATATATATATATATATATATATATATATATATATATATATATATATATATATATATATATACGTGAATGACGGTGGCGGTGGCGTCAGCAAAAACCAGCCGAGACTATGCATATAATACCGCAATAAACAATAAAACAACTACGCTTCTTCGTACTTCGTCCCTGTAAAGCATGCTTCGCCATTTGATGCGCTGTCAGCGGAGAAGCACTCTTTACGTCATAAATCAGCGTATTGCGTTATTGGTTTTGTGATGGCCCGCGCTTCGGTTTTAAAACGACGTGAGCTTACTCATTTTTGTTGAGAACAGGCGCACACCAAGGCGTAAAGTGGATTCACTCAGTAAAAGGGACAAACTATCTAAAGTGTGTTTTGACTTCACCCGTTACAGCTTACTTTGCTGCAGTTACTATGTATGAATTAGGAAGCTAATTTTTCATTGTAACTACTGAGTGAGTATTTGAATCGAGAATACGCGTTTTGAAAATTTTATCAGCATAAAAACTACCATTTTGATTCGTGCTGGGACGAGAGCCATCATATCAGTTATCGCGTGAGACGTGTGAGCCATAGTATCAATTCTGTGATTTCCGAAATACTCCGAAAAAATGCAGCATGTAAGGAGAACCACCAAGAGTTCGTAATGTATATGACTTCTTCGCCAGAATTAATAAGCGAGTTCTATTTGGTCGTATCTATGCTTTTTTTCAGTCTTGCTTTTTACGACGAGATTTCGCGAGAATGTGCGATTATTACATGAAAATTAAAATAGATGTGTATACCCAACTATGGCAATACTCGTTCAGAAAAAGAAAAAAAAATGCCCTGAACGCCTTTGAGTGCATTCTTTCAGTGCGAGGCTTTTTAATCACGTCCGTAAATTCCTTTCTGCACGCTAGCAGTAAACGAAGAAGCACCATTTCTAATTAAGATTTCTTCTTGAAAAGCTTTAAGAGCTCACTCTCATGAAATTTCGCCTTCTGTTAGTGATTTTAATGAACTGCCACGCTGTCACTCTTCCTTCTTTTTGATGAATGATCAAGCTTTCTGGAAATGAATATTTTGCTTACTCCCCGATAGCACACTCCTGTTTAGGGCATTCCGCTGAGCCTTTCATGTTTTTCTTTTCTTTTACAACTACACGAAACTGAGCGACTCGGTAAAGGTACATCGCGAAACGAACTGAGGCGTGCAAACACAGAGACGCCTCATTGCTAACTACTCTCGTAATTCAACAGAACTTCATTGTGAGAAATAGCGTTAACCAACAGTACTAGAACGGCACACTGGACTGGCTTTCTGGTTTATCTGTTTGTTTTCGTTTGTGTACTGCTGCATATATTAAAACCCCACCAACAAGCCAAAGTTCAGACTTTTCTAAGATAATAGAACTAGACGGCGCAAAAGCGTCTGTGTCGTCCGGTTCACTTCTCCTGTACTCGAATTTTGACTGCCGTAGTTTCTTTCGTGATGTGCTGATTTCTCTTCGATTCTTACTAACGTGTACCCGCCTATCATTTTCGCTTGCCAACCATACTTTCCGTTGCCTTCGCAAAGAAGGCAATTGATTCCGCCAGTCTCGCGCGCGAACCTCTGTCATCGTGTGCGTGCTTTTCGCATCGTGTTTGCGCGTCATGGTCGTCATGGTCGTAAGAACATTTCAATTGCAGATTGGGTAAATATTTTTCAGTTTTTACTAGTTATAAAGCATTGATTACATAACACTTGTATAGAGATGAGGGTCCCAGAGTATAAATATGTTGTTGGTGCTTTGGTTTTTTGGGTTGGTGGGTGTAATGCGTGTTTAGAGAGAACACGCCGCGCACTGAAGGGAGCGCTGGAACATCCCTATGTCTTCCGCCAGTATTAGCCCTTATACAAGGCTATAACAACACTGTTTAGCTAAGCATGTGCTTAAATCAGGCCCATAACCAGTAAAACGGGAAGAGGGAGGGGTCTCGGGGGCCCAACCCATCTGGTCCCCTGATATTCAGATGGAGATGTGTGCTTTACTGGTGTGCTTGTTCCTTTTATTACTGATTTCAGAGTATTGCGACGAGACGCTCTCGACAGCGATTGTCACGCACATTACTTTCTCTGAATCATGTATCACAGACTGCGTAATAGCCATATCATGGTCAGAGAGAGAGAGAGAAATGGTTTAATGAAATGCCATGGGGAGTATAGCGGGAGTCCACCAAGAGGAGGGGGGGTGCAGTAGTTATGGTGCTAATGATGATACGCAAGTTAGCGTGGCTCTTTTCCTGATATGCAACTTTAGGTTCTGTGTGACGATTAAATACATAATACACTCATAAACATATGACAGCACATACGCTTTTTCTCACGCACACACTTCCAGTATTTACTCTTTACAAAGTATCATTAACACCCGCGGCCCGCAAGAACGTCAGCAGCGTTTTTGTGCTGTTTAACGCACCAGTGGCACTTTGTCATGGGCCATACCATAACAGCCTGGCAGAAGTCTTTCGGTGACGAAATCTTATGTATGTGCTTAATTGGCTTTCTGCTGAGTGGGTCGTAGATATTACGTGGCGTATATTTTGTCTACACGCTGTATACAGGGCGCCTCCGTCAAGCCATTGGTTAACCTGCTCAAAATACGGCTACAGCAGACTGACGGCGACAAGCTTATCAGAGAAATTAACAGCAAGGTGAGTCGGATTTCGCCCCCTTTCTTTTTCATTTTTCTATAACTATACCGAGTGGTTATTTGGGCAATTCTTGTGTTTTGCATGAGCAAAGAAGCAAGAATCGATGTTAAAAAAACTTAAAGGTAATCAGGTGCTACTGTTTTTCTCTCTCTCTCTCTCTCTTCTTTCCTCTTTTTATTCTTGTCTCGAGAAAAAACTTGGGTTGAAGACTGCAGTTTTTTCTGCATTTTTTACAAGAATTTTAGTGCTTCTACACAATCTTAGCTCATACACCGTCGAGGTATACGCACCTATATAGGTCGAGGTATTCGACCTATACGCACCGTGGTGCCGTATAGGTCAAAAAATAACTAGTCTGAAAGTATGAATGTTGCGATACTTCTTTTCTTTTGATGAAGAACGATTGCATTGACGTGACTACAGACTAAAAGAAGGGAAAGCCAGTCACCTGTGTAAGTACCTAGTAACAAGTTCATGGGCAGACCTTGTTTTTAAGGAGGAAGTGAAGGGTCAATGTATGTTCGTGGGTGAGTGGTACGCGCTAATATAGCTGATCTCGCAAGTTAGGCGAGCCAGCCTTGCATTTCCTGCGAGCCTTATAGTTCATCAACTTCAAGCTTTTCGTGAGCCAGCACCTTCCGCACGCTTTTGTTGCCTGCACCTGTTATTTGCGAGCGTCTGCATTACTTCTTCATCTGCAAGCCAAAAACCGGTAGTAACGACACTGATTCCTTGTTTGCAGTCACACAGGCTCCCGGCTGTTGCTACTTATTGTGGCCGCTCTTCATTTCTCTAAAACATAAATTTTCGCTCACTTTCATGTGCTCGTGCAGTTGGTGGACAACATCATGCTAGGCATCGAAGAAATCACCGGTCATCGAGGTGGAAATTACTGGAAGGTAAGTGAAGCCTTTTAAAGCTGAATGCTACGGAGACGAAAAGACCGTATATATCACATGTTTCGCAAAAACAAATGATCGCTTTTTTTTTTTTCGCTCAAGGTAATGGTTCAGCTAACACCATTTTGTTATTTAGTTTGTGCAAGCTCAGGTATTGCTTTTTTTTTTCCGACTCGAAAACTTGAAAGAATCATACTTATTTTTTTTTCTTATTATGGCACGTACACTGACGTCCGCCGAAATAACTAGATTGATTTTTTATTTTTTTATTTTTAGTGTGTTAATACTACCATAAATATTCTACGCGTCATTATTGCGTCGAGATCGATGTGTGGCATCTTAAGAATAACGTAAATGACAATAAATACGCCTGCATTACGTCAAAAAACACGCGTGCGATGACGTAGTGCCGGTGACGCTTCCTTGTGATGCGTGTCGGTAAAGTCGATAAATTAACGTTACGTTTCGAAACATAGCAATTGATTCGTGAAGGTGAGCAGAAAGAGGGAAGCTGGAGGAGGGGTCAGCTTAATTTAGGTCACCGCGAATTAGTGCTGATGCCCTGGGTCTGGTAATTAGCCGTCAATAATTTTGTGCCCAGGGCGCAGGAATACCGTTGTGTGTCCAAAATTCTGAGTGTCCAAAATTTAAAAGGTTCAACCAACGCTTTTAACAAATCTTTCCTTCCGTTAACAACCGAGGATTGGAATCGGCTTCCCAATGCAATAGCCAACGAACGAAATACTGTTAAGTTTAAAACCTTACCCGAAACTCGTTTTACAACTGCACCGTCGTAATTTCAGTGTAGCCAGCTGCTTTTCTCTAATTTTTCTTAATCATGCTATTAGTTGTATAACGAGTTCTGTTTTTATTATTGCCCTGTGATTCCAATTCTTGATATTTAACCTACTTTATGTTCTTGGTCTGGAATCGCCTTTGTGTATCCTTGTTCGACCTCCCCCCCCCCCCCTATGTAATACCTCGTCAGGGACCCTTAAGAGAAAATAAATTATGATGATGATGATGATGATGATGATAATGATGATGATGGCTGCAGAATAAAATGGGAAGTGGGGAGAGAAGGAAACAGCTTACGCGTGGTGGATGTCAATACGTTAATTGCACGATGAACATTTCCGTGAATATTTTACAAGTCAGGAAAAACAAACCTTTTTTTTTTTGGTTTACACAAACGGGTAGAAATATTGTGAATTGAGATAAGTGAAACCATCAAACTTACGACGTATTTCAATTAGTCTCTATCAGCGCAAAACTTGGGGCGTACGAATGATGTGCCGGAGGCTCTCTCCGATAATTTATGCTAGCTTCACCACGTGGCCGGCCCCGGACATTTGCGAGATAATGCACATTCGCGCCTGAAGCGTTGTCCTACGTGTGTGATTTTTTCCTAATACATCTTCGTTTGTTTTTTCTGCTTTCTTTACTGAAGCCCCTTTTGAATATTCATACTGCTGCATGATGATTTTTCTTCGTGGAAAGAACGTATACTAGTCGATTTATTGAGCCCTATTTAGTTTGTTTCGTTTTGTTGATTTACTTGTTGTTGTTTTTGTTTTGTTTTTTTAAGAAGACAAGCTGTTGCCATTAGTGTTGAGAGAGTCGCAGCGACGTCTGAAGATCGCGACACGTGGGAAGGTTTTTACTTCTAACGAGGCCTGGGTTTAAACTTCCTAGCTTTAGCTAAACCATGTCGACGTCGCGAACGATCTTAGACAGCTATTTCTTTTTTGTTCCCGAAAACTTATGCAACATTCTAGATTCCATAAGTAGTACTCATGTTGAAAGCTAGGATAAGTTGCTTTCACCTTCTGTGCTGCACAGTTTGCATTAATTAGGCGCCAGGCGAATGCAGTTCTTTATAGCGTTCACGTATTCACTCGATAAAATACGCTGCCACGTTCGCCCACGTGCCTATACTTTTTATGCAAAGCCTTTATAGATAGCTTACGAGTTTCAGATAGAAGGGGGCGGGAGAGGGGGATGGGGGGCTTCGTGCGAGAAAAAAAGTAGAAGTGGCGGCACCTTTAAAAAAAATGCAGCCCTCGAACTTGCATTGGTCGCATGGGTAATTGTTGGCACCATTTTTTTTTAGATAGCTGATGCTATCACGATAACGGGCCTGTCGGCGATAAGCTCTTTCCGATGTGGCGATCTGATATTGTCTTGCCATTTCACGTTGTCAGGTTTCATTATTGCTTGGATGCGAACCCACGACCATTGCTGTTGCTTGTAACAATGAACTGTAGCTGTGTAAAGCACTTAAACGCTGGTCCCATTCCCGTTATCGAGAAAAGAAACAAATATTAGAAGGCAGCATTCCGCAATGTGATGGTTGGAAAGGAAGAAGGAAAAAAAAGTTGATGCAGCTATAGCACTAGCGACGCGAGGCTGGAACCTACAGTGGAGCTGGGCGGCCTTCCAAATTTCTCTTCATTTTTCATTTTTTCGTCTGTTTTGTCTCTTTGTGTCCCTATTTCTTTGTATTTCTTTCTCACGTTCTCTCTTTTCTTGTCTAGCCTGTTCTATCGCTCTATTCCTTGATCTTTACATTCTAAAAAAAGGGGGGGTCCTTTGACTCTTATTTTATACACGTTATTATATACACGAGGCATGCTGACTCTTTTTATGACAGTCGTTCATCGACACTCTTTTGGAACCTCGTGCGTCCCATTATTCTCGACGTACTACACGTTGCTCGCAAACGACCACCCGAAGGTACCGTTGAACAGCTGCACTGTTGAAAGATGAAAATAAAAGTTGTACTTGAGGCCCCCTACCCGCCAACTTTGTCTTGCACCCATTTTCCTGACTGCATGGACAAGAACTTATGAAGTTTCTCGACATTCTTTTATCTAAACTTGTTTCTTTTCTTTCCTTGTAAACGCAGCAAGTGATGGAGCAGATTGACGAGAAGTACCTCAAGCCGCTACTTCAGCACAAGTCGGCTCAGGACAGTCTCACGAGGGTCTACACCAAGGTGGTTCTTGCGTAAGTTTCGATCCGGCCTTTCCTTATATTATAGGAGGATAGATGTTCAAATCACGATGTAGTCGTGAAGTTGCGATATCTTCGAACAGTGAACGGCACTGGAGTCCACGTTTTGTCAAGAGTACTTATCCGGCTTCCGCTGACGATGAGAGAAAACAAAGAATGGCAATGAAAGGCCGTGAGGAAAACAAGTGCTCTTCCCGAACATCGGTCGCGGCGGTGTTCTCTTCTGGGCGTTTTTAAAGACGATAGTCTTTCTTGGGGATCTTCGACGCAAAAATTTTGATCTGTCTGTCTGTCTGTCCGTCCATTTCTCTGTTTGTCCTCCCTTAACGGTGCCGGGCACTTCAAACGGCACCAGCGGCTATCTCAAACGGCCGACCCCACCCGCAGCGCCCGCCAATCTTGCTCAAGATTCAGCGTTCATACTTGTGCGATTGTCAATTAAAAAGCAATTATCGCGCATATCTGAGGCGCCATAACAACACGTATATATTCTGCATTTGCATCTTTTACTAGAAAAGGCAAACATAAGTAATTCTAAGGACCGTAGCGTTTATTACGCTGCGCTGACCATGCAACGCTTGCACGAAAAGGAGAGCGTTTCCAACGCTTCGCTAAGATGACCCGGTGGTGGCATCTACCCGTCGGCTTGCGTTCTACACCTTATCACCTCTGAGAAGGGCGCGCACACCCGTCTCAGAGCCGCCCGTTTTGTGTTCCAAGATAACTGCCAGATAGCGCTCGTGTATCACGTGTGGCGTGACTTGGTGCGCTCGTTCGCCTCCGCTGCACGCTCGAGGCGCTCCAACGCAGCGCCTCCAGAATACCATTCACCGATTTTCTTGCGCAGAACATCGAATAAACGTTTTGTTCACTCTCTCCACACGCAAGACTATCGTCTTTCGACGACATTTGCAGATTAACGTGCATATACGGGGCCATTTTTTTCATTACAATAACTTAAAGATGCTCTCTTGAATTGAAGATCTGCAAGGCAAAGTATGGTTTTGCAAAGGATAAAAAAAATTGCCATGTACGGGCGTTTGGGATGGCACTGCTTGACTTTTTTTGTGTGTGTGTCGCGAGCAGAGACGGTCAAGATAACTCTTTATTAGTGCTCGTTTGCTGGCTAGAAGGTGCTGGTTTCGATTCCAGCTGCGGCGGTCGGATTCCAAGGGAGGTGAAATGCTGCATGCCCATGGGGTGTGTGATGTCAGCACACGTTAAAGAATACAAGATGGTGGAAATTTTTGGTGCCCTCCACTACGCCATGCTTCACGTGTCGCGAGCAGAGACGGTCAAGATAACTCTTTATTAGTGCTCGTTTGCTGGCTAGAAGGTGCTGGTTTCGATTCCAGCTGCGGCGGTCGGATTCCAAGGGAGGTGAAATGCTGCATGCCCATGGGGTGTGTGATGTCAGCACACGTTAAAGAATACAAGATGGTGGAAATTTTTGGTGCCCTCCACTACGCCATGCTTCATAATCATATAGATTTTGTTTTCGTCACACAGAGCCTAACGTATAAAAAACGAACTGTTTATAGAAAGACTTCGCATCGTATTACTACGGTCATCGTTATTCGAAAAAAAAAATGACATGCTCGTCAGTAAAAAGTAAAAGCTACGTTATACAAAGAGTGTTAGCGTAAACGTCTACTTTGCAAGATCGTCCCGAAACCACGATACAATCATGAGGCATGTCTTAGTGGAGCACTCCGGAAATTTCGACTATCTGGTGTGCCCTTTTATTCGCACTAACATCGCATAATACACGGGCTTATAACGTAAAGCCTTCGTCGATATGCGATCACCGCGCCTGAAATCAAACCCGCAACCTTCGAATCAGCAGCTGAGTACCGTAACCGTGACACCACCGCGGCGGAATACTTTTCAAAATAGGGAGTTTTAGAACACCGTTTGCAAGCGCTGCGGGCGTTGCGGGCGTAGCGGGCGCCATATGAGTTTTATAATAGCGTTTGCCCGGCTGCGATCCGCAACGCACGATCGCAGCGACACCGTGTAGCTTCGAAACCAGCGCTTGCGGGCCACATGCGGGCCGCCATCACCGCAAGCAACTTCGGATTTTTTTTTTTTTTTTGCGTGCGGTCTGCGAACGCAGACTCATGTTACGACACATGCGCAGTGGCAGCGACCGCACCGCAAGGGCTCGTGGTGCGCTATTCTAAAACTCTCTAATAAGACGGGAGGAAAAAAAAGATAATGGTTTTAGAAAAGGAAGGGAAGAATAGAAATGAGATACAGTAAAACTAATACGGATCTTCATCCTGATTAATGCGTTGGATTTTACATAAATTACGCCTGAGGGGTTGCTTAGTTCTATGGCGGCCTTTATGGGTTATTCATTACGTATATAAGTCTGACTGCTCACTTTTTGAGAAGTTGCCAAATCCGTTTACAATAAGGGGCTGTCCAGTCCAGCAGACGTTTAGTTATTCATTACGTATATAAGTCTGACTGCTCACTTTTTGAGAAGTTGTCAGTTCCGTTTGAAATAAGCGGCTGGCCAGTCGAACGGACGTTTATCTGGAATGTGCATACTGCAGGGACCACTACGCCCACTTGTACGGCCCTGCGGCAGCTCTGGAGGAAAATATACCTTTGAACATACAGCAGTAAGTATTCTGCGCTATTGCCTGACCTTTGATCTTGTCATCTTGCATGAAACGTGTGATTGTCAGCCCGCCCGTTTTACCTTCCCTTTCTTTCTCTCTCTTTTTATTTCTGTGTATATATAAGTATGCATTCATAAGTTAATTTTTTTTTTGATCCGGTGAATAATAAGTTATAACAAGTTCAGCCTCACGTTCAAAGGAAAAAAAAAACATTCGACATTTCGGTCGGGGTCCGGTCTTTCTGATTTTTGGAGACTTGTCCGTAGTTGGTTGAATTTTTTTAGTGCTCAAGTTCTTACCTTAAAGAAATGTATGTAGAATACTCAAAGAATGTTTGATGACGTGACTTTTCTTGTTTGTTCCCCCAGTTGCTCAGATATGGGAAGGTGAGTACCCAGCCTCAAGCGGGACGTCATGCGCACCTTTTTTTTTTTTTATGAAATCACTCGTGCAAGCTGCCGATAAAAATCGCTTCACATACACTCTCTAAGCCCTACGCAGTAATCAGTCGTGCTTCCGATTCACGTCGCAAATTTCAAAGCATTTTCGTTGTGTTCGCTGTTGTTGTCAATTGCTTCCTCTATTCACACTCACACGCCAGCACTCTAGACAATTCCTACACCCTAAAGGCGTCTAGTTTTTTTTTGTTTGTTTTTACGTATAGCTCAAGTCAGTCTATACAAATTTCACTCTCTATGACACCGACCATCAACTATGCGTACTATATGGGGAAAGTAGCCGCTCGGCCGAAAACTCAGATGTAGTTGGGACCACTAGGCACATGTCAAAATATCCGTAAGAATTTTGCTCGTGATGCGTTAAAGCTTATGTACGCGTCGTCCGTCTTGGCTGTTATAACCTTGCCAAGAAAATTTTTGAAAAACGAGAACAGTTATGGGCGTCAGCTATTTGTGCCGAGTGGACAAATTTACGTAGTGAACACAACTGGAACTGGTGAAGTTAGTGTTGCACTTGCGCCTTTGTATATCTTTAGTTCGTTTTCTGACAATTATGCAAGAGAAGAGGGGTATCTAGCGCCAGGCAGTGCCAACATCCTCTCCTTGCATACATACTTAAAAAGAAAAAACGGTTTCATCTGACCGCTGGTGGACGAAGGCTTTGTCATACGGCAAACTAGCAGCCTTTAGGCGCCTATACTCAAACATTCAGCACTCGTGTTAACGCCTTCCCTGCATGGCCCTTTGCAGCGCGCGTTGTAAATAGACGAATACACCTCAGAGATGTTCATCGAATCGTAATCGCAGAAGGTCATTTAATGTTTGCGCGTGTCGTCCACCGAACTTGAGACAGCTCATTCGGGGTTTGAGTACATTTATTTTATGTGTCGTGTTGTCGCATGTGAAGCAAATAACTATAAAATTAGAACAGATACATGGAATATTGCATATGCGACACCACGTGCGACACCACGTGCGACACTACCAATATGCGACACCATATTTGCTGTGCGCATGAGATTTGAACACTGCTATCAAATTTTCATGTATAGCGATGTTAAGCAATAACATCGCGTAGAATGTTCCGCATTGCCAAATGACCGAATGTCCGAACAACGTAATAGAACGACACTATACAATCTGCCTGCCACCACTCCTTCAATATATTGTGTGGGTTTCAGGTCACCATATTGCTGTGCGCATAAGATTTGAACACTGCTGTCAAATTTTCATGTATAGCGATGTTGAGCAATAGCATCGCGTAGAATGTTCCGCATTGCCAAATGACCGAATGTCCGAACAACGTAATAAAACGACACTATACAATCTGCCTGCCACCACTCCTTGAATATATTGTGTGGGTTTCAGGTTTCCTATATTCGTGTGAGTCACGAAGGCGGGTGGACCTCTTGAAGTTTTAAATATTTTTAATGACCATATCTAAAAAAAATTAGAAACCTTAAATAGTTAGTGATCAACAACTTCTCTTGCTGCAGGTCACGGGGGGTTATGCTTTGACCAGTTACACTCACAGCCATTGGCATATAGCCCTGAAAGCAGGGGGGGGGGGGGTAGTTAAGCTACCCACCGATATTATTCAGTTTTACAAGTGTATGCAAAGCGTATACATGCAAACGCGTGTATATGTATGTATGCACGCATACATACAAATACGCGCATGCATATTCATGCCACCCTTTCCCCCCTTCCCTCCCCCGGAATTGCTGGCTATTCCCCCGCTTACGAGCGTCACGCCTTTACGTGTGCAACGACTATTGTGAGCCCTGTGTGTACAGATAAGCATCAAGTTTTAGAGATTGTGTCTACGAGGTAAAATAAACCTCAAGCTTCCCACATTAAGCCAGTTAAAAATGAACTATATAGAAAGCTTTGAGGCACGCTGAGGCACACTAGTCCAACCCGCTTATCACGATCTCAGATATAACGATCTATCGGTTATAACGACCGTATTTCGGTGCACTTACGATTTTACTATGCTACCCTTTGGAACTGAGTCCACATATAGCGAACATTTTTCAAAGCCTTCTACTTTTACAGAGAGCACTTCAGACACGATCGCGGTAAAAATATGGCGCATACAAAGCGAGAACAATGTTAAAAAAGGCATTCTAAAAAAATATATGTTCACGCTCGCGTGTGCCCCGCTGCAGTTTAATGCGAAAAAAATATCGTGGATCACGGCGAGTACCGCACGCAGATTTCGGACGTTTCGAACGAGGTCGCTCACTTTACAGACGTTCCTTCACCGACAGAACGGAAGTGAAGGAAAAAAAAACACGAAAAGAAATAGGAGTCAACGTAAAAACTTGCGGTCACCTTTCGCACGGCAAACTTTTCTGACACCGCTCTCGGCATCTAAGACAGGCGACGAGTAATCAACAATGCCTTAATTCGAATGCAAGAAGCCATAAATGCTAGAAGCAATAACTTTTGTCGCGTGCAAGTTAACTGCGACGCTCAGCTCTCCGACACAACTATCTGTTGCAAAAAGGTTGTCCACCTTTCGATAACGGCAGAGACCAGTCGATTAGCGATAACGACTTCCGCGTGGTTGCGGCGGTGCCTTAACAGATAAGCATCAGAAAAAGGAGCGACGTCGAAGTAGCTGGTGGCGATGACGTAACGTGCCATCGACTCGTCGCCGGCAATCTTATCACGGTCATGTGCAGATGGCTGCTTGGCGGAGTGACTGCGGTACAAGCGCGTCATGCTTGCCGTTCGCAAGTTTGCCGCCGCGTCGTGCGAGGCCGCTTGCGCGCGTTGCTCGCAAAATTCTTCGTTGTGTTAACGAACGGGCTACTCGCCGCACCCGAGCACGATTCCGAAAGAAGCATGCGCGAAGAAAGCACGAACGCGCGCGTACATTGGGCGCCAAGCGACCTCAGTGGCATGCGACGGCGAGAGCCAAGTAAGCGACGTGCTGCACGCAACTAGCCAGGAATGATTTGTTCGACGTGGCGGTACCGCTCTTCTGTGGAACCACAGTAGAACCACAGTGGAACGGTGTGAGTTTACCGCGAACGCGGTTGAATTCAGAAGTTTGGCAACTTGGGCTAGTTGGTGTGTCATGACGATAGTTATAGCGCGAGAATAAAACGATGACACAGAGACAAGTGTCCTTCGTGTCCTTCTTGTCCCTGTGTCGTCGTTTTGTTCTCGCGCTATAACTATCGTCGTGGTTGAATTCACTCGTGAGCAAACGGGCGTAGTTTAACACGCGAAAAGGCCGAGCCTGTCAGAGGAGGGGTTGTTTGCACTTTTGAATAAAAATACACAGAGAAAAAAAAGATTTGACTACTAAGGGGACGTGTTAATGAGTGACGCTGCCTGCAGACAAGACGCCACGCGAAGTGTCCTTTCGACGTCACACTTCGTCCGCGTCGTCTTCTTACTAGACACCTTTATGCGTGCTCAAAGTATACGACTTTCATCCAGAAAAAAAAAACTACCAACGTATTCAACGCATATATGGATAGCATTCTCAAACCTCAACTCGTTCCCGCCTTCCATCCTCGCTTCTAAGACGCACTTTTGTCACACGAAGAAGCTGCGACTGATTATGTGCTGTTAATCGGCTTAGTGAGCAGGCATCTAGTAACTTAGTAGGCTCACTAGCAAAGCGAATTAAGCCGCCTAATGATATTCGATGCGCATGCATGAGCTCTTGAAGACTGTATAGCCTCGATGCTATGAAGTTTGCCCTTCGCATAGTAGCTTTATAAATGCACTGTGTGAAATATGCTGTTTATCTAGGACTTTACATATATCCGAAAGTGCTTGCTCGAACACACGCGTCCGCGGGTTGCACCAGTAGTTTGAATGGCATAAAGCCGACTCGACAGTTTTCATATCGACTTGGTCATGTGCACAGCGTTATTGTACATGCGCGAGTTCCTGTACCCTCTACAGATGCGCCTCTAGATGTCGTCGCAGCTCGTCATTAGGTCTAGAAAGCATAGTGAACTAGCCGGGAAGTCACTGAGTGCTCGCCGAAGAATTCAGTGATTCCTGGCAGATTCATGTCGCGTTCTGTACCATGCTTAAGCATTCAGTGATTCCTGGCAGATTCATGCTACGTTCTCTACCTCTCCTTAAGCATTCAGGGATTCCTGGCAGACTCATATGCCACGTTCTGTACCTGCTTGAGCATTCGGTGATTCTGGCAGATTCATGCCACGTTCAGTGCCTACCTAAACATCCAGTGGTTCCTGGCAGATTCATGCCACGTTCTGTACCTGCTGAAGCATTCAGTGATTCCTGGCAGATTCATGCTATTAACTGTACCTCTCCTTAAGCATTCAGTGATTCCTGGCAGATTCATATACCACGTTCTGTACCTTTCTTAAGCATTCAGTGATTCCTGGCAGATTCATGCTACGTTCTGTACCTCTCCTTAAGCATTCAGTGATTCCTGGCAGATTCATGCCACGTGCTGTACATAACTAAGCATTCAGTGATTCCTGGCAGACTCATATGCCACGCTCTGTACCTGCTTAAGCATTCACTGATTCTGGCAGATTCGTGCCACGTTCTAAGCATTCAGTGATTCCTGGCAGATTCATGCTACGTTCTGTACCTCTCCTTAAGCATTCAGTGATTCCTGGCAGATTCATGCCACGTGCTGTACATAACTAAGCATTCAGTGATTCCTGGCAGACTCATATGCCACGCTCTGTACCTGCTTAAGCATTCACTGATTCTGGCGGATTCATGCCACGTTCTCTACCTGCCTAAACCAGATTGCGGGTTTAAAAAGATACAAGAGAGAGCAGATATGGCAAATTTTGTTCAAAGTATGTTTCAACTTTTTGCTGTTTCCTTCTTTTTTGTAAAAATGACAGTTTTTGTCGCTATTATTCTTGTTTTTTCCTAGTTCACATACGTGTATAAACCCTGGCAGCTACAAAGTCCTAAAGCTACGATTGTGCTTGCACTTTATGTGCATTGAGGACTGACGACGCACGCATCTTGTCGCTTCGCATACGTGCACCGCCTCAAGCGTGCTTTTCTTAATCCTGCGCGAGCGAAGCGTGTTGGCTCAGCCTTACTCGGCATACGTCTCTCATAATGATATCACGGCTTTGGGACGTAAAACCAAACATATTATTATTACACGCTCAGCCGTGCTCACATGTCCGACATATGTTCACAGCTCGACACGCTCAGCGTCCCTCAACCCAATCCAGTGGTATTTGCACGATTCCAACAGACACGGGATGCCGATTGGGCATGTTTCTGTCGGTTTCACGGGAACATTATACTCTCTAAGAAATGGAGTACCCTGTTACTCCTTATGGTTAGTTTTGACTTGTCACATGAGTAACTCCCTTTAAATATTCACATCAACTCTTTTTTCGGGCCAGTTGCGCCTCCCATGACTCTCTGAAAAGAGTCTATATATTAATAATAATGAGATCTAACAGACAATAATGCCCAGGAGTGTATAGGGGAAGTTATTATGCCAATTGTAATGTAAATGAGAAGAAAGAAAATTGGGTGAAAAAATAACCAGCCGTGCTGCAAATCATTTTGCAAATCAAATTCAAATCAATTTGATGGACACTCGGCGTCAAATGAAACTCGGAACAGCGGGGCGCCTGTCCCAGGCATTATGAACAGCACACTCTAAGTAGTTAGGGATTAACATCATTCAAGTTCTGAAGAAGTCATTCCCCGTTTTTTATTGGGAGAGGAGCGAAAGCCGTTACCCCGTCGGAACGGGAAGGCGAGTGCTCACCGCCACGTCGTGGGGCTTCTGGAAATGCCTCGAGCAAGTGCGTAGACGGAATTTTTTTAAGGTGGGGGCGGTGGAGGCGACACCTCGTTGGTTTTGTGGGAAGCGGGGAGCACCTCCTTCAAGCGGTCATTTTTCGCGGGCCTAGTGTGCCACCCCCTCACCGCTTGGTGGAATATATATATATATATATATATATATATATATATATATATATATATATATATATATATATATATATATATATATATATATATATATATATATATATATATATATAGGCAGGCAGGCAGGCATAGTGGTGAAGTGGTCGTAGCGTTGCAAGTAGTCAAGTAGACCCTCCGTGAGCAGTGTTGCGTTTGGCGGGCCACCCTTTTTGCCGCGACCGCCAAAACGGAAGAAAGGCAGCCGCCTCATTTTGTGGAGATAAGGAGCAGCGCCAAGACGCCCTGCTGTTTCCATGTGCTGGGCGCTGCGTGGCTGAAATTACTCAACCGAGCACCGCTGTCCTTCGGGTCCGCGCAGAGATGCGACACGTGGCGTCTTTTAGTGTGGCAGCTTGGGCTAGTTGGTACGGCATGACGATAGTTATAGCGCGAGAACAAAACGACGACACAGAGACAAGAAGGACACGAAAGACACGAGGGCTAACTTCCAACAAGAGTAGGAAGTTAGCGCTCGTGTCTTTTGTGTCCTTCTTGTCTCTGTGTCGTCGTTTTGGTCTCGTGCTATAACTATCGTCTTTTAGTGCCCCGGTAAAAGGCGCGACGCCAAGCTTCCGCCGATTACGGACCACCGCGCCGTTCGTCTCTGACTGATGAGCCGCCGACGCTCAAATCAGTACCAGATGTCCAGGTGTGGCCCCCTCGGAGGCGCCTAGACCGCGATCGCCGTTCGACAAAGCTTGGGTGGTCGGCGCGAGCGGCGAGATGACAAACACGTTTCACCCCGCTCGCTGAAAGCAAGATTCGTCGGAGGCGATAGTTACAGCGCCAGAACAGAACGACGACACAGAGACAAGAAGGACACGAAGGACACGGGCGATAACTTCCAACTGATAGCGCGAAAATATATAGAGGAGACAATAAATCATGTGACAAAAGCCATATGGCACAAAGAGCAAAACACGAAGAAGGGATAAAAACAGAAGCAGAGTGAAAGGCAAAGAAATGTCTATAAGGAAGCGAAACAGAAAAGTAAAGGTAATATAACTACTTGCACGCACCAAAGCCTTCGAGGAACCTTAGTTTCTTCTCGGACAGAGACACGGGAGCAGGCTCCCGGGAAGTTATCTTCCGGGAGCCTGCGGGAGTTATCTATCGGGAAGTTATCTCCCGGGAAGGCTCCCAATTATAACCTGTTTTTATGTTGAACTCTGCATTCTGTTGATGACTGCATTTTCAGGGGGTTTGTAGATTTGGTGAGGCTGATTAATTTGAACGGTGCAGAAAACGGGACACGAACTCCAACTCGTTTTCCGATTTTCTTGAGCCTGTGTGATATCTGGTGTTTGTATGGAATCGCGGCTATCCTTTCACGCTCTGTATCCGTGTTCCCCAGATCCTGTCGCTGCCTCTGCCCAGCCTTATTAGTCCACAGTACAGTTTCAGCAACGGAAGCGATAAACGCCTCAGGGAAACCCAAAGCCTTAAGCCGGGAAACTTGAGCTTTGAAGCTCGCAGAGATGTTGTGGACGCACGACCTATTTAAGGCATTCTCAAGACAGGTTCGTGCTATGGCTCACTTAACTAACTGGCTGTGAGCGGAAGAAAAAAAAGTAAAGGTTTCTGCGCACGTGGTTCATAACACCAACAGATGTGCTGTGAGCGAAAAAAACAGTCCTAAATCCAAGAAGCATAACTTGTCATTCTCGGGCATTTCATGTGTTAACACAGGAGGCTTTAAACAATTTTCAAACACACCTATCGTTTGAGCTGCAATCGAGTGGAACATAGAAGGGTTACAATTTAGAAGAACCAAGAAATCATCCAATTATCTGAATACTTTGACGACATGCGAGCCCTCTAACTTTTTCTGCCGTTTATTGCCCATTTTGCCAATAGTGGGTCACTGAGTAGAGGTGCTATGCATGAGCTGATTGAAACAACTTTTTTCAGCAGATGAATGCAATCATTCCATTGAACGAAAATAGAGCTAAGGTACAGCAAAACCAGGTCAAGAAAATCCCGCGCACTGATGCCAGTTTTTTTATTGGAAGTTCAATTCCCCGAAGACTTCTATGTTATCCCTTATACATTCTAATACCTCATCGTGAGGCACTGTGTAGTGTAGGTCCTTTATGTCAATTGAAAAACCGAAAACATTATATTGGTTTGATTGTTTGAAAAATTCTATCAGTGCCTGCGAGTTTTTGATCAGAAATGAGTCGTGAATCTTTAGACACTTTATATGGGTCTGAATAAACAAGCCGAGTTGCTTTTGCCACGTTCCACTTTCTGTGGCGATGACTCGGAAGGGCATGTCGACTTTATGTGTTTGGGCAGAAAAAAAAAAACATGCTGATCCCATTTTTGTCACTTTTGCTAATATGCTGTGCTAACTGTTTCAACTCCAGTATACGACACATTTCCTTGGCTTGCGATTTTAGTCTATCTGGACGAATGTCGGTACAACATTTGAAAACAGAGCCAATAGCTGTGACCGCCTTTTCTAGGTACAAGCACTTAGGAAGAAATGCGAAACAACCCTCCTTATCTGACGGCACGCACAAAGTCCATTGTCTCTCGGAAACTTGGTCGTCTTCCGCTACGGAACGTTGGTTCTGGTAGGTTTACCCCGTAGGTGCACGTCGACGCCTTTTGAGATGCATCTCTCCAAGTCCCCTGGTGAGGCGCGGCCAGAACAGAGCGCAGCATTGAAAGAAGCTCGGGTGCGGACCTCTCTCGGTCGACGGCGAACTTCTCGCCCTAGGGTCCGAAGCTATACCTTTTTTGTCTTATCCTTTCTTTCCACGTTACGGAGTTGACAGCGTGTATAGCGTGCTTTTCTTTTGAACCCCCAAAAGTGACGATAGTTATAGCGCGAGAACAAAACGACGACACAGAGACAAGAAGGACACGAAAGACACGAGTGCTATGTGTCGTGTCTCTGTGTCGTCGTTTTGTTCTCGCGCTATAACTATCGTCATGCCATACCAACTAGCCCAAGCTGCCACACGCCCCAAAAGTGAGTCGCGCCTCTCCGGCAGGTCCTTCGACGAAGGCATGCTGGATGCCCTGACGGAGGAGCGCATCCAAGAGGAAGTCGTGGCGGACGACGAAGAGGAGAACGCCGAGGACGAAGACCGGGGCCTGCTCTTCCACGCGGACCGCAAGCCCTCCATCGCTCCAGTACAGAACCAGATAGGTGCGGTGGTATCCGAACCTTTCTTTTTTTCTTTCTGGAACCACAGCGTATAGTTGTGGAACTAACGTGATACGAGCACAAAGCTTTATAGTTGCGACTGAATACTTGCTGAACTGCTCAGTGCATAGACGAGTACTAGCAGTGGTTATGTTGCGCGGCTTCTGATTGGTCGTGGGTTTGATCCCTGTGGTGGTGGTCATATTGTAATGGAGGTTAAGTGTTAGAGGCCCGTGTACCGTGCGATTTCAGTGGACGTTAAAGAACACCATATGGTCGAAATTTACGGAGTCGTATACGCTTACGGCGTCTTTCATGTTGATATCGTGGTTTTCGGACAAAAAAAAAAGATATGTCGTAGGCGTGTGCTTGTCATGCTCAGCCAGCCAGCCCTTGGTTTTGCGCTTGCACAATTCGCCTGTTATACTTTTTCGCTGGCCTCGTTATTTTTTGCAACCTTGCATTTCATTTTTCTTTTTTTTTTGTTATTTTGAAATTCGACAGCTATACGTCTTGATCAAGAAAGACGTCTTGTAGAGGTTATTATTAGGCTTTACGTATCTCGAAAGGTCGATTTTTTTTCTCATTGCAACATTTGGTTCATGGCTTACACTCTAAAAAAAAAAAAGAGCGAGTAAGAAGGGTGTCTTTTTGTCCCACAACAATAATCCTCATCTATAATGCGTTCTATCTTTGCGCTATCGCCCCGCGCTCCGCACATTCCGGTCACGATCGACATGCCCATTATCACGGTTACATTGCATTCTCGATAGGAAAGTGGCCAGCGCCGAGTTTTCAAGGAAAAAAGCGCACGCAAGCCTGATGACGATTATTGTTGTGGGACAAGAAGACACCCTTTTTACTCGATATTTTTTTAGAGTGTACTTCAGTGTTCGTGCTTTTTTAAAGTAGTAAGCCAGACCACAGACCACGTGAAACTTTTTTTCTATAACACCAAGTACTCGGTGAATGCCTCTGGAAGAGAAAAAAGTTGAAGTGGGTACCGTTATTTGGACGCCTGCAGAGACGTCGACATTGCTGCTTCTTTGACATTGTCTTTTTGTTTCCTTTTTCTTCCCGTTCCTTCCCTACCACAGCCCCGAGGCGCGTGCGGTTCTCACGATTCGGTAAGCTTCTACGTAGAAGACTGGAATAACTCCCGAGAAATAACCAGTGCTTTCCCGCTTGCGAAGCAGTTCTCCGAAAGTGTTCGACGAACTCTATGGGGGCGGGCACACGCTCGCGATTTCGCAAGCGGTAACGATGGTGACGCACGCGAGGACTGCATTGTCTCCTTTAAAATGTGGTGCTGAAAGATTGAATGGTTGAAGCCCGGTGAATAAGCGGCTCTAGGAGGAGTAGGGGCAAACGTAGACGAGCACTCTTATTCGCTACCCTCATTATATGGCCGTTAATTTTCCGGTATCACGGAATGTCGACTAGATGAAACCGCATTGCTTTTTTTTATTCTTATTTGCTATTTGGCTGCCACACTTCTGAATCTTATGCGGGTGGGTAAAACGTAAGGGCGGCCGAGTCATTGGTCTCTCCTTGTCTTGTTTTTGTTTTGTTTGTTTGTTTTTTTATAAAGGAAAAGGCGTTCTAAAATTTAAAAGGCGAAGTTTTTTTGTGAGTCGAATTTCTTCTGCCTGCTAGAATGCAACGTGAAAGTGACGGGACCGGTTGTGACGTCACCTCCATATTTTCGCACAGTTCGCTGCTGGGACGTTGCAGACCGCGACCACGTTTCTCGCTTAAGCATTGTTGAATAGCTGCATAATGAACAAAAAAAAAATACTTTGAGTTTTGAAGCCCAATTCGACAAGTTTAGACAGACATTTCACATCCACGGCCAGAGGATCTCCGTACGTGCGCAAAAGTAAAAATAAAAAAGGTGTAAATAGTAAAACTTGGACGACATGTAGCGTGTGTTCCGACGCTTCAGTGTGTGCGCGGCAGTCGGGAATAGGCGCATTCTTCAATTTCTGGGCAATTATGTCTTGTTTCTGCTAACAAAGAAATGACACTAGTTATTTGAAACTGTAGACCATTCAGCATAGGATTTCGCTTGATATTCCTTTTATATAGTTATAAGGAAGTAATAAAGTACTTTAAAGTACGTAATCGGTGCCCGTACGTATGCGCATGCGCGTCCCGCGAAATGTTCGAGTAGTGTGCCCGCCCTTTCGTCTGTGTTAACTTAACACAAACTAACCTGTTTTAACAGCTTTACATTTAACCGAAATTATAACGAGCAGCCTGCCTGATAGTGCCTTGTGTCCGTAAATCTTGCCTGTACCTATAATAAGCTGATGTTTTCTTTTTTCATATATGTCAGCAGCTTACGTATACGTAGCAACCGAACTACGAAGAATCAACGTAGGCTTGTTTACTACTGCCATTTATCCTGCGATTAATGCCTGCAACCGAATGGCAGTGCCAAATGAGATTACGAATGGATTAGGTGAAGAGTAAAAAGCATCCCGAAACTAATTAAACACTGATTTCCTCTATTCAAGAACATAGCGGGGTAATTCTAGGGAGACTACGTTGCTGAGGCATGCTGCCCGCGGATAAATTACTACGTATATATCACCGGGTGCGGGGTGATTAAAAGACAGCATTGGGATTTCATTCTTCCTTTTATTTTCTATTATGTATTCATTTCGTTCTTAATTAGCCGAGTAGTATAGACGTCGTACACCACTAGTAGAACCTTTTTCCAAGTTATGGTCTGCGCTGCACTCAACTCCCATCTAGTTTCGTAGAGTGCTGCTTGTTCTTCCGATTAGTTACGTGCGGCAAGCTAACGTAGTTGGCTCCCCGTTCCCCGCAGTTTTGTTTTGCGTAGTGGCACTATCGCGAGCTGCACTGTGTTTTGGGAAGTGTTGCCGCTTTTTTTTTCCTCACCCGTTATTACGTTGTGTTAGTGTTGCTTAGTAGTGAGCAGTAGTGGTGTTCTTTTTTACTATTCTGATTTCTGGTTAGCTGCTTAAACGCCCAACACGCACCAATTCAGTTTATCTATCTAATCTGTAGCTTTTCAGACTGAATCATGCATTGTGCCTGAAGTTGTTGTTTTTTTTTTCTCGCTCTTTTTGCCCACAACGAAGATTAGCTTACATTGAGACAGCACAGCAGTAAGATCAGCTAGCACGTCCTTGGGAAATTTCCGTGTGAGGTAGTCAGTGCTTATAAGCGTTGTCGTTATACCGAAACACAACCCGCAATCTTTTATAGCTAAAATATGCCGTGTGATCCTGCATGCGAAGCATAAGGGTAGGTATACAAGTGAACAAGCGACTCCCTGATAATGAATATATTAGAAATACTGTTATTAAACTTAGCTTAGTCTCGTGTTCGCTTTACTGCCTAGAAGTGTTCCTTCTCGCAGCTTAATTCATGCTATATTCTCCCAAGACTGCACGTAGCTTATACATTTCCCACGCTTTCCACGGCATTTTTTTTTTCACCCATTGTGCGGGTACCAACTGCGAAAAAGCTTGCAATATTATCGATATCAACCTTATATGATGGTGTTTAGGTAGGTTTGCGGAAGCAGTGTTGACGTCAAGGACATCAGAAATTCAAACAGTGACTAAGGTACCTAAAGGAATCAGTCAGTTCAGTCTGCAATGAATGATTCAGCCCAAGGCACGTGTACCTTGATAGTGTTTTATTATCTTCTTTTTAATTCGCAGTCCCCGAGAATCAGATTGGTCAGACCGCAGTAATTCAGAGTGAAACACTTAAATGCTGAAGTATTGAAAAAAAAGTAAAAAAACCCCGCAATAAAACAAAATGTTGAATCAGTGCACAGGCTTGAGTGACCAGCGTTTTGACTATTCGAACTCGTTCCTCTCGGCAGCCAAGGTTGTTACGCTAGGACAAGTGGTGCTATTCTGGGCACTGCCGAATTCCGCCGTTTTGTCGGATTTTATGATAGCGGCATTTAAGCCAATCGGAAAGGTCGTGGCGACGCTCTGGACCAATCAGCAAAGACCAATCGTAGAATTCGACAACTCGGCCGAGTTTAACAATGTCCAGAATAACACCCAATCACGCAGTACTCGGGGACTGCGTCGCAGATCTTTGCAATAAAGTAGAATGCAGGGTAGCTTTTTTTTTATCTTTCTCTTTTATTTTTTATTTAAAGCGGCTCATCGGGAGGGTTCTGCCCTCTTTTGTGTGTGTGTGTGCTCTGTTCCTTCTAATTGCCGGCGTGTCAATAACCCTGTGGTCTTCCCTTGCCCACCGGAAAGTTCCCCGGCTGACAAAAAGTTGCAACGACGGTAAGACACGCGACCATAGCTACCCAGTTTGGTGTCGCTGTGCACTCATGTCGCGCCCGTCGTTGTCGCCTGTCTGTGTCTGCATGGGCTGACCGTTGCACGACGCACTCACTGGTGGTTTGTGGGCGCATGACGATTTGAGGCGGACGAAGAACAAAAACAAAAAAAAATGCTACGCGGGATTACCTAATGAATTATTCAATCAATGACCACCTCATTCCGTTACAACTGTTTGATATGCACGTATCGCTCAAGCAGAATTGTACGTGTACTGTTCGCTATAGATTACAGTCAAGAAGCTGCTGATGAGGATGACGTTGATCGTTGTTGCCACCGCGTTTAAAAGGGGGTGGCGTTGCCTACAGACGTCGAGTTGTACTGCGCATGGCTTCTTTAGGGCAGAGACAAAGAGAAATACTTTAATGAAATACGGAATATGTTAGCTTGGCTATTCACCTGACACGCTACCTCGGTTGCTGGGTTACGGTTTTCATACATGCGCTGGTAATCGCATAACTGCACATACAGTCATGTGCAGAAGTGTACATTGCACTATTTACAAAGTTTTGTTGAGGCTCGTCGCCCGCAAAAACGTTAACAGTGTTTTCGTGCAGCGACACACAAAGGGGGTGCTTTGCCAAGGGCCGAGAATATGCCACAGTAGTTCCCGTTTAAGGTGTAATGCCGCCATTAGACACTGTCACTGTGATGTGTATTGCAAGCAGTTATCTGCAGTCACACAAAACATGTTGCATGACTTCTGGGACGTTGCATAAAATCATATCGACGTGTCGGATAGTTTAACCATGCTCTTGAAGTAGTTGGTATAGACGATCTTTTGCCCGACTTGGTGTAACCATGTTTGATCTTGTCTCGGCGCATGTAGTAGTCATACGATACATCTGTTTTGTATAGATGTTTGTACTTGTGTCTTGCATCTGTCCAAAGGGATCGTTGGAGCCATCTAAAAATACCGTGTACAGATAGACTAACCAGACGGAAACGTTGGCGACATCTTGCTACGCTTTTAGCTACCACAACTCTGTAAAAAAGGACGTAATGCGTCACTTTCATCGTCGAAAAAAAAATGTTGAAAATCCTCTGCATGGCATTTTAAATTACGCAGTTGCCACCAAAGAGCCCGAATCGCATCGTGCGTGAACTACATTGCATTTGTGTCTAAAACTCTTCGTTACCAAAAGTGATCCGTATATACTGCACCTGATAGGCAAAGAACTGCACTCGGTGCATTTGCAACAGTTCGTTCACAGTACCTCGCACCACAGGAACACTTACGTGCGATCAGTTTGACAGCGTGATAGTCACTGGATGGCGTCGCCTCTTCAAACGCAATTGCTCGCTTCTACACCTGTGGTGTTTACGAGAGGCTAATGATGTTAACCTTCAGCTCTGTTTCATGTGATATGTGTTCCTCATTAATGAGAGTTCTTAATCATTCATACTTAAATTCCCCGAATGTGGCAGTTACTTTGCGTTTCGCCATGTATAGTACGATCTTGGACATTTACTGTATAGGGCAGGGTGCTATAGATATCTTTCATGCCGTCATCTCACCCTGTGCGCGCTGACATATGCTATGACTGACTAAATAGCCCACCTGTGCGTTTCAAGTGAGTAAAATTGCATAGTTCATCTCGATCATGACTACGAAGTAGTTCCCACCTTATGATCCGTGAATTGACGTAGTCAACGTCTTGAGCGAACGTTTATATTGTGACGTTGTTCCGTCCACGTCCTGTCGTAATGCCTATAGACGTGTTTACTTCTACGAGATGATGTTTATAGATGTTAAAAATTTACGCTGTATTTTATCA